GAGAAAAACATCAGACGAATTCCAATTGGAGAACCTCATCCTAAGTACCTTCCCAGTGGCCCTCAGAATTACCAGGGCTGGCAGGTCAGGGTCTGCGGAGCCTAAGGAGACAGTGAGGTGCTGTCCCGGAGGGGTGACAATTAAGGCAGTTGAGTAATCGTGACAAACACACCCCACTGATGTTAGCTGTTAGTGATTGAAGGCTCACCACCCACCCACCAGGGAAATGAGGGAGCCCCTCTCACAGCGAGACCCTGAGGGCCCAGCTCCCCACATCCCGCTGGCATGGGGACTGCAGCCGTGAGCAGGGACACCACAGGGGGGCTGGCAGGGACACCACAGCCCCGGTGGGCTCCGGGAATATGGGCCACGCCCCGAGCACCTCTGTCTCTGTCCTCTCTGTCCTCGAGAGGGACCCTGCCGCCCCGAGCACCAGTCCTAACAAGCTGTTGGATTGTGACTCAGAGAATGAGAGAGAGAACCATGCGTCCACACTGAGATTAAAGTGTGAGTTTTTAACCATGCGTCAGTCATCACTGTGATTCGTTGGTCATGACAAACACGCCAGCGCATCCTTTAGGGGAATGTTATCTTAGGAAATTGCTGCTGTTCAGTCGCTCAGTCATATCTGACTCTTTACGGCCCGTGGACGGCAGCACGCCAGGCTCCCTTGTCCTTCACCATCTCCCGGAGCTTGCTCAAACTCATGTCCATTGAGTCGGTGATGCCATCCAACCATCTCATCCTCTGTCATCACCTTCTCCTCCTGCCTTCAATCTTTCCCAGCATCAGGATCTTTTCCAGTGAGTCAGCTCTTTGCATCAGGTGGCCAGAGTACTGGAGCTTCAGTGTCAGTCCTTCCAATGAATATTCAGGACTGATTTCCTTTAGGATGGACTGGTTGGATCTCCTTGCTGTCCAAGGGACTCTCAAGAGTCTTCTCCCACACCACAGTTGAAAAGCATCAGTTCTTTGGTGCTCAGCCTTCTTTATGTTCCAACTCTCATATCCACACATGACTACTGGAAAAAACAGCTTTGATTACATGGACCTCAGATGATCCCTATGGGGGAAACCCGATGTGGGGAATATAAGGAGCTGCTGTGTCTTTACAGCTTTACTATAAATCTAAAGCTATTCAAAGTAAAATGTTTATTTAAATATTTTTTAAAATCAGACAAATTAAGATGGTACCCCAACATACGCTTAGCACACAAAACTTATAGTTTTGGGAGCTGATGCCATGGGTAACTCCCCTGCATCCAAGTTCTCTTATCTGAACACCTCTACCTGAGGGTATTCTTTGGTAGCTGGACTTGTGGGTTCGAGGCAGGAGCAATACCTTAGGGTGACCCCTATCCGAAGCAGTCAGGGTGGTCCTGATGAGGAGGCATGCACAGCCTCTCCGGGGTCCCCAGTAGCTGCAACTGCATGGAGCTGTGACCTGCCGACTAGAGCTCCTCTTTTTTTTTAATTATTATTTTTTTTTAGTATTTTTTATTTATTGATTTGGCTTCACCAGGACTTCATTGTGGCATGCAGGATTTTTGTATCTGTTGCTGCTTGAGAACTCTTAGTTGCAGCAGGTGGGATCTAGTTTCCTGACTGGGGATCGAACCTAGGCCCCCCTGCATTGGGAGCGTGGAGTCTTAGCCCCTGGACCACCAGGAAGGTCACTGGAGTTCCCCTTTTTTAAAAAAAAAAAAACTAATTTACTTACTTTAATTGGAGGCTAATTGCTTTACAATATTGTAGTGGTTTCTGCCATACATTGACATGAATCAGCCATGGGTGTACATGTGTCCCCATCCTGAACCCCCCTCCCACCTCCCTCCTCGCCCCATCCCTCAGCGTCATCCCCGAGTGCCCTGTCTCATGCATCGAACCTAGACTGGCGATCTATCTCACATATGGTAATATACACGCTTCAATGCTATTCTCTCCAATCATCCCACCCTCGCCTTCTCCCACAGAGTCCAAAAGTCTGTTCTTTACATCTGTGTCTCTTTTGCTGTCTCACATACACGGTCATCGTTACCATCTTTCTAAATTCTGTATTTATGTGTTAATATACTATATTGGTGTTTTTCTTTCTGACTCTTCCTTTCATCTCACTTCCCCTGGTCTCACGGGTCAGCTGTGGGAGAACCCACACTAAGACCATCTGCAATAAATAGGTATTCATGGATTTAATTAACATAGTAAATGGGTAAGATTCTGACCATTCAAAGAATTTAGCATCCAGGAAGAGAAAGACTACTGGAGCCGTGCAGATCACACCCGGTTCGCCCAGTGAGGAGCCATGGGACGCACAGAGTCATCACGAAGCCTGCCCTTCCTGACTTGGGGGTGCTCCCGCCCGCGGCCTCATGCGGTCCAGCACCTCACCCATCGGGGGACGCACATCCTGGAGCCCTCGCTGCCCCCGACAGCTCATGTGCTGGGAGGACACCCCAGGTATCTGCACACCGGGACAGCCAAGCAGCTCCACGACACAGATTGAAACCCCACTCCCATCACTTCCTAACTTCTGACTCTACCCTGTTGCTGAGTTGGCTCACACATAGAGCAAATCCAGGCACACCGTTCAAGGTTGTCACGTAAATTGCAAGAGGTCACTTCCTGTAATACCTGGGATCACAGCACAGAAACAAGCACTCAGACAGTCAGTGCCCTTGTGGAGAAGATGGCATTTGAAATGGGGCAAGGAAGTGGAGAGCAGGACGTTTCCATTACAGCAGAAGGAACGACTGCCAGAACGTGAGATTAAGGACTGCAGGGAGCTTGGCCAAGAGAGCTGTGTGCCTGGACAGAACAGGAAACGGGCAAGCAAGGTCACGGAGAAGCCAGGTCCGTAAGCCTAAATGCCAGCCAGAGTCGGCTGACTTTATTCCACAAGCAGGAAGGGAAAGTGGGAGAAGGTGGCTGTGCTGGAGGTGATGGGAAAGACGGGCGTTTGAATTACGAGTTACAGTGCCCCGAAGAGAGGTCAGTATTGGAAACAGGCTTGGGAGTAGTTCACTAAATAGCTTATCATGAAATTAGCAAACCACCCAGCATGGCCTCTGTTCACCACAGTCGGAAATAGAATGACGGGCTTCTTGACACAGTCAGGGAAGTTGGTTCCTGTCATGCCATTTTACACTTTCAACTCTCATCTTGGTAATTCTGTTGTCATCGTTTAGTCGCTCAGTCATGTCCGATGCTTTTGTGACCCCATGGTCACACCAGGCTCCTCTGTCCATGGAATTTCCCAGGCAAAAATACTGGAGAGGTGTGCCATTTCCTTCTGCAGGGTATCTTCCCGACCCAGGGATCAAACCCATGTTTCCTGCATTGGCAGGCAGATTCTTCACCACTGAGCCGTGAGGGAAGCCCCATCTTGCTAATTAGTATGCATAATAAAGTGAAATCTTGGGCTGAATGAACCACAAGTGGAAGTCAAGATTGCTGGGAGAAATATCAACAACCCCAGATAGGCAGATGATACCACCCTAAGGTAGAAATCAAAGAGGAACTAAAGAGCATCTTGATGAAGGTGAAAGAAGAGAATGAAAAAGCTGGCTTAACATTCAGCATTCAGAAAACTAAGATCATGGCATCCAGCCCCAACATTTCATGGCAAATAGATGGGGAAAAAAATGGAAACACTGACACATTTTATTTTCTTGGGCTCCAAAATCACTGCAGATATTGACTGCAACCATGAAATTAAAAGATGTTTGCTTCTTGGAAGAAAAACTGTGACAAACCCAGATAGCATATTAAAAAGCAGAAACATCACTTTGCCAACAAAGCTCCATCTAGTCAAAGCTATATTTTTTTCATTAGTCATGTACAGATGTGAGAGTTGGACCATAAAGAAGGCTGAGCGCCAAAGAATCAATGCTTTTGAGCTGTGGTGTTGGAAAAGACTCTTGAGAGTCCCTTGGACAGTAAGGAGATTAAGCCATGTCAGTCCTAAAGGAAATCAGTCCTGAATATTCATTGGAAGGACGGAAGCTGAAGCTCCAATACTTTGGCCACCTGATGCAAAGAACTGATTCACTGGAAAAGACCCTGATGCTGGGAAAGATTGAAGACAGGAGGAGAAGGAGGCAACAGAGGACGAGATGGTTGGGTGGCATCACTGCCTCGATGGACGTGAGTTTGAGCAGGCTCTGGGGGAGAGTGAAGGTGTGCTGCAGTCTGTGGGGCCACAGTCAGACACGACTTAGCCACCGAACAACAATAATAAAGCGGTTTCTTTTCCTCCCTGGATACCATCCAGGTAATCTAAATCTTCCCCAAAGGCAGAGGTCGGTGTGGGCTGCGAGGTGTGGAGGTGTGTCCCGTGAGTGGACCAGGAGATAGGAGTGAGGTCCTTGCAGGCGGTGGGCCCTGGGCCGCCAGCCACAGCCACAGCTGTGGAGTCCAGCACCTTGTCACTCCTTTTGCCAGTTGTCAGTTTCTACAGGAATTGCAATAATAGAGATGACGTTATGCATATTTGTTCGTTATGCGTATTTGTTCATGCAGTTACTGTTTTCAGGTATCCTTATGTAGATCCTTATTTCCATTTCATTTTTATGTAAATGATGCCTTTAACTTTTTCAGATTTCCAGGTGTTCCTTGCTAGTATGTAGAAATACAGTAGCATGTGTCTTTTTTGGTTTTTTACTTACTCATCCATCTGTGACCTGCTAAACTTTTTTTTTTTTAAGATCTGGGAGATTTTTTTATAATTCTTTGGTATTTTCTATGTAGAAAATCAGATAGTCCACCAAATAAAGACAGTTTTGCTTTTTCCTTTTCAGCCCAGAGGCTTCATCTCTTCCCTTGCCTTCTTGCATCAACAAGCACAGCAGGGTTGAGTGGCATGTGCTTCTCACTCTTAGAGGGAAAAATATTTATTTTCCATTAAATGTGTTAGCAATAGGTTTTTCATGCGTACTCTTAATCTAATAGAGGAAGTTCTTTTTTATTTATTACTGATACTAGCCTTGTTTTCTCCTTTTCAGCAGAAGACTCAGAAAGTGGCGTTTACATGCGATTCATGAGGTCACACAAGTGTTACGACATCGTTCCAACCAGCTCCAAGCTTGTCGTCTTTGATACCACATTACAAGTGAGTGAGCCCCGTTTCCCTGAGTCCGAGCTGTGTTATTTCAGTGGCTGCTCTGTCAGGTAATTTGGACCCAGTCCTTTCCGCATGTCGAGGCCTGTGCTGAGGTTTACCGTCTGAATTCTCAGTCGTCATGGCAGTCTTCTAAGGAATGCACTGTTGAACAGATAAGGAAACTCACTATCTAGAGTTTACTCATTTTTTAGAATTTGAGAACTTGGTCCACAGACCCGGGGAGTCATGAGGTGGAATCGGAACTCAAGTCTCTGATGTGTGTCGGCCTCAGCCCCTCCTCGGCACATCCTGATGGCCTGTGTTAGTTACTGAGCAGAGTCAAGTTGAAAAAACTTCAGTTATAAAGAAAAAAATTACTCAGGTGGATAATCTCTTAAGAGAAAACTGTCGATCTCTTTCAGCAGAAAATTTGAGCCTGATTATTACGGTATTAAAATTGTGCTTACTGCAACTCATTTTATACCCTTATGACTTACAATTGTATGTGAAAAGCTCCAAATAATACATTCAATATAATCAGATTACATCCAGTGTAATAAGTAAGATATGTGTGCATACACATGTATACATGTGCACATGTAAATTTATGCGTAAGTCTTTACCAAGAGGATTATGTTCACTTGCGTTCCCCAAAAGTAGCCTCCAAGCCAGGAATTCACGGCCGGGTTGGCGCTTTATAGAGGGCTTCCTCCCGGGGAGCCCCCGAGGGGCTGGGGGAGAGTGGGGCGGGGCGGAGGCCCTACGGGGGCAGCTCTCAGGTGAAGCCCACTGCTCCTTCCCTCGGTGGGACCCCAGTGGGCGAGCGCATTCACCCGGGCTGCTCAGCTCCTCGTCCAGCACAGTCCTGGGAGCCCTGCCCAGCCCTCTGGTCTGTGGGCCCCCAGGGACACCCTGTGGCTCTCTCCCCAGGACGCCTGGGCTCTGGGAGACCACTCTGCCTGCGTTCAGCCTCAGTGCCCAGAATTCTCAGGAATGTGAAAATCACTTTGTCCTTAATTTCATTTTCCAATTGTTTCTGATTTTTTTTGTAAATTGGCCTGATACCCTGTGACTTTGCCCAACTCACCTGGGCCCAGGCACCCTTCGAGTCCCCTTCTCCAGCTCTTGATTCCTTGACTCAAGGAGAACAGAGTGGTATCCAGAGGCGGGATCTTAAGGAAGCAGACAGTAACTTCAGGAAACCTTCTCTACCCCTGTAACTACAGACTGCAGTAGTGAAGTACCTGGAAATTCTGAATTCCCCAAATGAAGAACTAGATCACCCCGTCCCACCCTCACTCATCCGCCAAAGGCCGATGGGAGGTTTTTCAGCAACAGAAAAGCAAGTGATCCCAGGTTTCATTCTTACTCAGCTTTTCCTTCATGAAATGGACTCTTTTCTGATGTAGAATTTAGCCAGAGTGAGTGATACATGAAAAATGTGATGCTTTATGGATCTTCGGAGGTCACTAATCCAGTAACTGTCACCCCCTTGATTAATAGAAGCTGCCTGAACCTCGTCTCCTGGAAGTCACGAATCCTGTGGGCTCCACGCTTCCAAGGAGCTAAAACAGGTTACCATGGAAATGGGGGTGACTCTCGGCACTGGTGACAGCAAAGTTAATTATGTGTTTGAAAGGCTAAGCAGACCGTTGTCTAGACACAGTCTGCATGGTGGCCGTGGACATGTCCCGAGGGCGAGGGAAGCAGGCTGGGGGCTGCAGCATGTCCGTCCCCGAGACACATGATGGTCATCCTCCTTGAAAGGTCGCAGCCTGGACAGCTCCCAGTGTGCCCGTGGTCGGGCAGCATGGAGCCGTCGAGACGGGGAGAATTTTGTCCAGGATGTGTTTCAGTTAAAAAAAAAGTGTATTCCGATCAAGTCATTCTGAGGGTATCAAAGACATTGCTGGTCTGGGGAGCCAGGGTCAGCCGTCTACACGTGAACTGAAAATGGGGGTCACAAAAAAACAGAGGCGACTAGAGAGGCCTGAGAAGGGCAGGGGTGTAGGGCCTCCGCTCCTGCACCTGTACCCTCGGCCTCTATGAGGCTGCGGGCCTCCCGAGGGTTGGGATGTGATGCCCCCCGTGTCTCATGTCCGCGGACACGCAGTGCCTGGCTCCTGGTGCCCTGGAAGCCAAGTGCACGTCTCAGAGTCCCGTGCTCTGCGGCAGCTCCTCGGGCCAACTGGTTCTCCCTCGAGGTCAGCAGTCATCACAAGCTCCTGACGGTGGTGTGACTAAGGTGGGGGTGCTGCCCGGTACCCCCTACTCCCTGGAGGGCAGGAGCCTCCCTTAGATGACTCCAGGGCTGGAGGTGCGGACGGGCCAGCACTCGGGCTAGACAGGCCCCATGCCACCCTCTCGGGGTGGGCGCTGGCCTTGCACAATGGTCCCCCAGCTTTCAGCTGAGTTATTCTTCCCCTACCAGGCCCTGTAGGAAGCCAGGAGCCATTTCTCAAAAGGAAAATAAATGACCTGCAGAAGAAGATGTGGGTTTTTTCTGCAGTCTTTTTCCCGCCCCCAAACCAGTGACTCGCCTGTTGGTGCCTGGTGGCCATTCATCCAGCAGCCTCAGCTCTGCCTCTGGGGGTCGCAGGCCCGGGTGGACAAGGGGCCCACCCTGCTGCAGAGCCGTGCCCTGCTCTGGGCCCTCTGAAGCCTGCTGTCACTGGCCACTCAGTGCATGGGTCAAAGCAGTACTCAGTCAGGGGCGTGTCCTTCCGAAGGCCCGAGAGGGGGCCGGGGGGCAGGGGGCAGGTGGAGCCTCACGGGGTGAGACTCCCTGATCCCCCCGACCTGATCCCTCAGGCTTGCAGGCATCATTCTGAGGCATCTATAAAGCACTGCTCCTCCCTGCCCATCAGACCAGCCAGCCCGGTGTCATCTATGTCACCATGTGTGACACGAGGCCTGGGGGCAGGTCATCATCTCTGCAGACGGTGGAGTCAGAGTGGGAGTGGGCTGTGCGTGCCTAGGCGGCCCGCACCTCGGGGACCAAGTACATCCGTCCAGAGAGAATGCACGTGCAGGTGGCAGCTGCAGGGCCCAAGATGCTCGATCTAGAGTTGCAGGAATCCAGCTGCATGGGCAGGTTCCCTCCAGAGTGTGATGGTCAGCACCTCCATCTCTGTGCTTCCCCAGGATGCCCTGCTGCCCCTGGCTTGCCAACCTGTGGTTTCAAGGGGCGGCCTGCCTGGCCATAACATCCCACGCCCTGTGGGTCCGAGAGCCAGAGTAGGGTCCCCAGTGCTCCATTCGAAGACTCGGGGGTAGCCAGTGTGGCATGCAGACCCCTGAGCTCCGGGGCTTGACCTTGTCTGAGACTCTGTCCCCTGGCGACCATTTGCCCCTCTTGACTGCAGCCCCAGTGGCGTTGGGGGTGCTCAGAAGTGGCGTCTGTTCAAGGCCAGTGCCTGGTGACCCTGAAAGGTCTGCACTCAGCCGTCCTGGAGAAGCAGCAGTCCTGGGTAGGGCACCCTGCTCAGGGGACCCTGCCCTCTGACCGAGTACAGGACTCGGGTCTGGGAATGGTGGGCGGATGGAACCGCACGTTGATGACTAAGGGGGGGTTTCGGCCCCTGGGCTGAGAGTTTTTCTGGCTGTGTTTATCAGGGAACATTTCAGAAGCCAGGCATCTGCCTCGTGCCCAGGGATGCTGTAACCGGTCAGCCATTACCAAGGGCCTGCGGGTCAGAACACTCTCACCCCAGCCGGGCGCCTGCTGCCTCGTCCTTGGCAGCTCAGCGCAGCCCTGTCCTCCCCCAGAGGACCCTCACCCACGCACATCAGCGAGGTTCACATGGGTACGCCCCCTGCAGAGTGCCACCAGCACGCAGCTTCTCAGGGTGGAGGGTCCCAGCACGCAGATCCGGGGAGGGTGTGACCTCTGGGCCCTGCTGGGGAAGTGGGCTGGGGGCTGGGCGCACAGGCGCACGTGCCAAAATCTCCGTAAGCCCATGGGTTCACTCTTCCTCCTCAGAGCACCAGGGTTCTGGCATCTCGGCATTCCGCAATGCCCTACACTCAGGGCCGTCAACTCGGAAAGCTTTTGAGCCTTCACAGCGGCTGCCGTGGACATCACGTCCACACTACCGGTAACTCCACCAAATCCCATGTTCCCACACTCACTTCCCGGGTTTCTGCAGATAGGAAGTGGTGAAGCCTTGCCCCAGTCCCCACATGTGAGCCCCTTGCTGGGGCAGGCTGGGGTCTGACACAGGTCTCAGGGTGGCAGGAGGGGTGGCTGCAGTGGTCTGGGGAATGAGTGACCCCAGGTGTGCAGGGCATCAGCCCAGGAAAACTTGTTCCTGGGCCTCCAAGCCAAAACAGGCAGTGCTGACACCAGCCCTGTCGCTGTGCTGGGTTCTGGGGTTGAGCCAAGTCAGCGCCCAGGCTTTCACATCTGAGACGCGGGGAGGCGGTAACCTCTGGAGTGGTGACGCTCCATCCCCTGCAGAATTAACACCATGTGTTTGATTTGGGAAATCTCAGCCCAGTAGCTGCAAGGGAAGGGCTCTTTGGGGGCTGCCGTAGAGCCTGTGTGGTTCTCAGTGACCGCAAGTCCCCTGTGTGAGCCCCAGCCCTGACAGGACTCTGCCCACACCAGAACCCGAGTTCCTTTCGCTGCAGTGACTGCATCCCTGGCTCCGGCTCTCCTCTGGCACCTGCAGGCTGGGGCAGGGGCGCCACAGTCACGGGGGACCCTGGTTTCCTCTCAGGGCTCCCTGCCCGGGACCACGGGATCTGGGCCCCACTGACCCAGAGCTCAGCACTGTATTCAGGCCCCAAGATACAAGCCCAGTCCCAAACCCTCGGTCCCCAAAACCCTCCCTGGTGCATTTCTGACCCACTGGGGTCCAGTCAGGACACAGAAACCACAGCAGTCGTTGAATAGAAAGCTAACATATATTGGCATTAATTGGATGTAAGTTATCTGTGTAACTGACAGGGTAAATGCTGACCTCTAAACCGTCCTTCTTGATGAGGGTGAAAGAGAAGCGTGAAAAGCCTGGCTTAAAACTCAACACTTAAAAAATAAAGATCATGGCATTGAGCTCCATCACTTCATGGCAAATAGATGGGGAGAAAGTGGAAACAGTAACAGACTTTATTTTGGGGGGCTCTGAAATCACTGTGGACAGTGACTGTAGCCACAAAATTAAAAGATGCTTGTTCCTTGGAAGAAAAGCTGTGACAAACCTAGACAGCGTATTGAAAAGCAGAGACATCACTTTGCCAACAAAGATCCGTCTAGTCAAAGCTATGGTTTTTCCAGTAATCGTGCATGGATGTGAGAATTCGACCATAAAGAAGGCTGAGCACCAAAGAATTGGTGCTTTCAAGCTGTGGTGCAGAAGAAAAGACTCTTGAGAGTCCCTTGGGGAGCAAAGAGATCAAACCAGTCCATCCTAAAGGAAACCAACCCTGAGTATTCATTGGAAGAACTGATGCTGAAGCTCCAGTACTCTGGCCACCTGATGTGAAGAGGTGACTCATTGGAAAAGACCCTAATGCTGGGAAAGATTGAGGGCAGGAAGAGAAGGGGACGACAGAGGGTGAGATGGTTGGATGGCATCTCTGACTCAATGGGCATGAGTTTGAACGAACTCTGGGAGTTGGTGAAGGACAGGGAAGCCTGGTGTCCTGCAGTCCCTGGGGTCGCAAAGAGTCGGACACGACTTAAGGATTGAACAACAACACCGGGATGAGCCCCACTTGCCTACTTTAGAAACAAGAAAGATAAGGGTTCAACCTGTTCCCAAAATTCATGCTGCAGGGGCTAGTAAAGAGGAAGAGAGATGTTTCAGCTCATTTTGTGCTTTTTCATCATCAAGGACAATGATCTTCAAAATGGAAGAAGTGCAATAAATGGTGATTAGAAGAAGCTAAGTCCAGGGTAGATGTGGACTGTAGGAGGGTGCCTGTTTGCTTTCTGGCCCCAACATGTGCAGTGGTGCTGGAGGAATTGTGGAGACCAAGTGAGCAGGTCTGAGGCCTGATGCCTGAGGCCAGAGGTAAGAGGCAAAACAAGATTCCTCAAAAAACAGTGGAACACGCGGTGTCCATCCCAAGTAAGGTATTTGAATGAATCATTAATAAAAGTAGTAGTCTCTAGAAACCTGTCGTGGCCTGACCCCAGAAAGTCAGGGCGAGGAACCCAGTATCCTCTTTGGATTGTTTGTAGCTGTTGTAATACCATGAAGGAAAGGCCAATCTGGGGGCTGACAGAGCCTGGCGCAGCGTCCTGACGGATAAGATACAGAAGCATATTTAGGCAGCTCAGCGAATTAATGGCTTGTTATGGACAGAGGATGAGATGGTTGGACGGCATCACCGACTCAATGCACATGAGTTTGAGCAAGCTCCGGGAGTTAGTGATGGACAGGGAGGCCTGGCGTGCTGCAATCCATGGGGTCGCAAAGAGCTGGACACAACTGAGCAACTCAGCTAACTGGTGGGCCTTAAAAGAACATCGGTGAAATCTCTGTCCCCTGGAGCGAGGCGCCTGGCTATTTTGGGTTCCTCTCAGGGACCAAGCCATCTGTCACTCCAGCCAACCTGCCTCCTGCAGCCTCAGTGGGCAGCACCCTGCCTCAGGAACCAGCGGGGGATGAGCAGGTGGGTAAGCGCCCCTGCCTCTCCTGCTCTGGGGGGACAGTCCTCAGGAGGCCCCCAGGGGAATCAAGCCCCGTCAGGCCAGCTCGACCACCCACCCCCCTCTTCCCTGCAGGCCTGTGTCACTCCTACTCCTGGGGTTGTCTTCTCAGATAAGCCACGGGTGGGCCCGCTCTACTTTCTGGGAGGACTTAGCTAAGAAATTGTTGGATGCCTTAAGGTTCTTTCCCTCTAAGCCCATCAGCGTTTGGAGCAGTGACTTGAATATTGATTTCATTGGTGGCATCATCTAATTAACAGATGACTTGAAACCGAGAGAGACAGAGAAAATAATGACCGGCATCCAGAAAGATTCCTCAATGAGCTAAATGATCCCTGGGACTAATTAATAAGTCCCCGCCATCCAGAACCGTGGGAATTAGAGCGTATCGGTATTCCAGAAAAGACTTAAGTGGTCAGAACCTTGATGTGAGGTTGACCCGACCCGGGGGGACTCACACAACAGCTGGCGGACTGCTCGCAGGAAGTACAGGCAGTGGGCTTTACATGTCATCTCGTCTAGAGGTGGTGCAAAAAGGCCTCTGTTCCTCCTCACCCCTTCGTCGTATTACCAGAAACAGAAGTTCAGCTGTCAAGCCTGGCATCACCACCACCTTAGCGCGAGTCGCTCATTTTCAGGCACTTTTCTTCTTTCTACCTTGGCTTCCTTCCTCCCCTCACCGCCGCCCCCCCCACAATTAACCATGTCTCAGGGGGTGTTTTCACGCATCTGACTGTGTCGTGTTATCCCATGGTCACATTTCCTATTTGTTCAGTTCAGTGTTATTCCTGGAGCTCGGAACCCTTCCGCTTTTAATTTTCTTTGATCATCTAAGGGTTTTCTCACCGTCTGACCTCTCAGTAGGATTTCCTGTGCAGTCAGCTGGGCCCGCAGGCTTGCAGCCCCGCACAAACCCATCCCTGCTGCTTCTGCGTCTCCTCCTCGGTCGTCACCGTCACCCGAGACCCTCACAGCTTCACGCCGTCAGTGCCCCTACCCTCTCCTGATAACCTGAACGCAGGCTTTTCTGCGCTCTTGATTTATCCCTTCTGTTTTGGTGGAGCACTTTCCCCTGGAGCTTCCTGCCTCCGTCCACTAGGGCTGCGTGACAAAAGCCCGCAGACCGGCGGGCTTCGTTTCTCCTGGCTTCCGGTCCTCTTGGCTGGTGAGGCCTGTCTTCCCGGCTTGTGGACAGTTGCCTGGGGAGCAAGACCACTTTCAGTCTTTCTCATGAGGACAGTGATCCCACCCTGATGACCTCCTCTAACCCCGTTCAGCTCCATCACACTAGGGGTTGCTGTTGTTCAGGCGCTAAGTCCTATCCAACTCTTTGAGACCCCATGGACTGTAGGCCGCCAGGCTCCTCTGTCCATGGAATTCTCCAGGCAAGAATACTGGAGTGGGTTGTGATTCCCTTCACCAAGGGATCTTCCCGACCTAAGGATCGAACCCATGTCTCTTGTATTGGCAGGTGGATTTTTTACCACTGAGCCACCAGGGAAGCCAGGTCATATTAGGGTTCAGTTCAGTTCAGTCCCTCAGTCATGTCCAACTCTTTATGACCCCATGGACTGCAGCACGCCAGGCCTCNCAGCCAGGAGATCGTGGGCCCTGAATTGCTCTTTAGCATTCCTATTACGTCCGCTTTTTGTTCTGTTTCCTCACCCGTCTAGTGAGACGGATGTCAGGCTAGAACTTGTACAGCCTCAGTGTTCGGGGCTGTGCGGAGTGGCGCACAGTTAGACGGGGAGCACCCTCAGCTGGAGGAGCACGCTGTTCACATGGGGCTTCCGCCTGGTGCGTCTCACTCAGGAGTCGGGCCTGCTGTCTTTTCCATTGGAAGCGCCCAAGTGTTCATCTTTGTGCATTTTATTTCTGACGCAGTTTCTCCGGAAAAAAATAGTCCTTTGATGGTTGGATGTGGTTATGATCTGATTTGAAACAATCTCCCTGCTTGTTTCCAGACACGCCCAGGCATCCGGAGCCTCCAGTCCTGGGCTTCCCTCCACACCTGACTCTCCTCCCAATTTCTGACTCTCTCCCTCACGCCTATTAAAATACAGATTTTTTTAATTGGTACCCGTTTAAGTAAATTGTTCATCAGGTGAAAAGAAAGAAATTTTTCAAAGGTACTCAAGGCCCCTGACGTTTTTCCCTGAAGGCTGGAACTCGATCATGCCCATCTGCTTGTATCCTGTCTCCGTTTGGTGATTGGTGACACCCTGTGCCTTCTATAATTGTGAAGCTTTCTAAGTACAGTTTCAAAGGACTCCGCACACGCGGTGCCAAGGAAGCAGGTTTAGAAGGTCTCCTGATGGTGCAGAAGCTGCGGCCAAGCCAGAGGAGGGACAGGCAGGGCTGCTGACCGGCCACACCAACACACACCCCCTCTCAGGGGCTGAGAGCACCTCCTGTCCACTCCAGGGGCTTCTGTCCAGTCTCTGGAGGGGCGAGTTGTGGCCCCCACCCTCCGTGACGTGTTGACATGTCAGCATGTCTGTGTGGCTGAAGTTAAGACAATAAATCTTTCTCTGCTTCTGGTCTGGTTTGTAGAGACTGGAAAATTAAAAACTTTCTTCCTTTTTGACTCTTACTGCTGAGCATCTTCAGAGCAAGTCTGGTTCATCCAGTCACTTGCGGGAACTCCCTGGTGGCCTAGTGGTCAGGACTGCAGGCTTTCACCGCCGAAGGTCCAAGTTCAGTCCTTGGTGGGGGAACTGAGATTCAGCAAGCCATGTGGCATATGGGCCAAAAAAAAAAAACCATGCGCTTGTGAGTAAAACGTTGTCTGTCAGCCCCTTGTGTGGCTGAGAATGTCAGGACTCAGAGAGGGCGGAGGACCTGAGCCAAGGCAAAGCCGAGGTCAGCCTGGTGGGTCCTGCAGCTTTGCTCCCCCTGAAGGCAGCGGGAGGCGCTCTGCTTCACTCCCAGCATTTTCCTCAGCGCCTGGCTTCCCGGGTGGCTCAGCTGGGAAAGAATCCGCCTGCAGTGCAGGAGACCTGGGCTCAGTCCCTGGGTCGGGAAGATCCCCTGGAGAAGGGAAAGGCTACCCACTCCAGCATTCTTACCAGGAGAGTTCCATGGACAGAGGAGCCCGGCGAGCTACAGTCCATGGGGTCGCAAGAATCAGACATGACTGAGTGACAAACACCTAACAGCTTGTAGGTAGCAGGTCAGGCAGAGAAGTTATTGTGGAAAAGTGCGATATTTTTCTGTTTCTGGAAGGACAGTCGCCTTCAGAGTCTTCAGGGTCAGGCCCTGCTTCTGTTGGTGTCCCCATCTGTGCTTCTTGCTTCTTTGAAGGTTAATGTCCTTTTTCCCTCTGGCATGATTTTCTCTTTGCCTTTGATTTCTAGCATCTTACCTCTGATATGCTGGGTGTGGTTTTCTTTGTATGTTTCCTGCCCTCATTTTATTTGGCTCTTTTTGATAGATTACAGTTTTCTATTGAAATTCACTGATTTGAAGATGATTGGAAAAATGCCTTTGGAAAAAATTCCAGAAGGATTATGGAGCTCAGTCAGTGTCTTTTCTCTCAATAATTGTGGCTCCTTGAATCCTGCCTGTGTGGTGCCCGCCAGCACTTTCCCATCGGGGTTTGCATACGATCTGTCCAACTTGTGTAGTTGTTTTCAGCTATTTCACCACGGCGAAACCATAACTTTAATGGCTGTGGTCACTCAGTCTTACGTGAATGATCCTCATGAATGATTTGTATACTGGTTTTTCTGTGCTAAATCTCTTATTTTAGAAAAAGCAATGAGCAGTTTGTGGTTTTAAAAGTGCCCCCACTCCCTGCCTACTCCAGCCAGTTAGAAAAACAAGCTAAGCAGATATTTAATGTGTCTCAGAATCTATGTGTCCGTGACTTTCCGCCGTATCCTTTGATGATATTTTCTAGGCCCGCTGTCAAGGATTCCCAGATTCCCATGGTCCAGGTAGAAACAGACCATTCACCCCCACTCACCACCCCTGGATGCCGTTTAGTTCCACACCCTGTGAATGTGTTGTGACCCTTGACACAAGCTGTGGTTCGAAAACCGTCTGACCAGTTTGTGGATGCCGTTCAGTCCCCGCTTGACCCTCATGCCCTGGGGTTGGCTCTTCTCATCTCCTCTCCCCCGTCCCCTGCCCATTTGTCCAGCAGGCTGATGGGGTCCCTGCAGTGCTGAGGACAGTGCCAGACTCGGCCAGGACAAGTGTGGGAAACGGCCAACGAGAGTCCCCCTTAGCTCCAGCCGTCCTTCGGCTCCTGTTCTGATGAGCCAGGCAGCTCCACTAGTCACTCTTGTTCAATAAATAAAGGCAGAAACTGGTGCCAACCCATTACTCTTCCTCTGACATGAAGCTTTCAGTTCCTGTAATCCTCCCATTTCTTTTCGCTGTTACGTTAACAAGGGGTTGGGGAACATAGTGAATGAAAAAAGAGCCTTTTTCTTTCCTGGTTATAAAGATAAATATAACACAGAATAAAAAAATTTTTTAAGACATGCACTTTCGCTGCTTCAACTCCTTAGTATAGAAGTTTAAATTTTTTTGCTTCTCTTTGAGCTTTTCTGTTTAAATACATGTTTTATGTAATTATAATGCATAATTTTATAGTCAGCATTTTCACTGCCATAAACCTTTTTTTTCCCCCCCACTTCAACACAGTCTTCGCACTTATACTGTTTGGTACTTTTTTTTTCTCATTGGTATGCCAGTATTTAACAAGCTTGCGGGAGGCAGATCTTTTTTCAGTTTTCTGTAGTAGAAATAATGCCACACTGAACATTGTCAATTCAAGAATCCTACTCCTAAAATTTTTGTGTAACTAATTTGACAGAGGAAAAACTGGTACACAAACAATATTTTCGTGATTCTTGATACAAGCTGTTGGTCAGAAACTATTCTAACAATTCATGATGCCACCAGTGGTTTTACAGCCACACCTGTGTTAGGTGCTGTAAATTAAAAATATTGGCTTATTTAGCAGCTTTAAATGATATCTTTAATTTGCTTTAATTTTCATTTCTTAGATTATCAGTAAAATTGAGCCATTTTCCAGATGCCCTTTGCTCTCTGTATTTAGAGGTCGTTGTCAGCACCCCCACCACCTTCTTTCCCTGCCATGGTATCTGGGAGGGTGTTGGTTTTGGGGGCTCAGAGAAATTCTGCATGTGAACTACTCTGAACAAGACCCAACCCACGATGGGCATACGGTGGTGGGTGTCCGTCTCAAACTGTATAAAAGTATGTGTATATTATGTCCTTCATTCCTTCTCTTTCTCACCCTCAGGGGAATAAAGGAGGTGTGCTTGATGTTTTGTTATTAAATGCATGAAAAACAGATTTTCATTTCAAGTACTTTGATACAACTTCAGTGTTTTCAAATGAATTAATAACCACCTATAAAAGAGATTAAACTCTGAAGTTTAATCTCTTTTATGTGGTTTTAATTATATGAAGTCTGTATGTATTCAAGACACTTTAAATACAAGAAAAAAATTTTTGAGGTTAATTGCCTTGTTTGTTTCAAAAAATAATCTCCAATCCCTGTATACCTTGCAATATAATACAGAAGCATATTGCTTATGTTAATACATTCAGTTATTTTTAACTTATCAAATTTACAAAACTCAATGTTGAAGATAACTGGTAAGATTAGGTTGAATATTTTAATAGGTTGGTGCAGACGTAATTAGCATTTTCAGTCCGTGAATTTTAAATCATTATAACTAGGCTCAAACACATCTTTATTAATCAAAAGAGGAACCATTACAATCGACACATTTTTGCCAGTGAGAAGTTTATTCATGGAGCATAACAACCTGTGATTTCGGATTTGACAAACTCCAGGAAAGCATTTTCTGCCTCCTGTTAATTGAAGAATCGTTTTCCCTGCAAAAAGTTGTTGAGATGCTTGAAGAAGTAGTGATCAGTTGGTGAGAGGTCAGGTGAATATGGCGGTTTGAGGCAAAATGCCGTAGCCCGATTCCTTCAACCTGTGAGCTGTTGGTTGTGCGACATCAGTCCGAGTCTGTCGTGGAGAAGGACCGGCCCTTCCTGGTGACCGGTGCCGGCTGCGGGCCCTGCAGCTCTCAGTGCCTCTCTTCACCACCGTTTTGCCGAGCGTGCTTCTCAGATGTGATGGTTTCTCCGGGATTCAGAAAGCTGTAGTGGACCAGGCGGGCAGCAGACCAAGCAAACAGTGACCGTGGCCTGTTTTTGGTGCAAGTTTGGCTTTGGGACATGCTTTGGAGCTTCTTCTCGGTTTCGTCACTGAGCTGGTCGCTGCCGGTTGTCGTATGCAGTCCACTTTTCGTCACACATCACAATCCGATCGAGAAACGGTTCGCCGTTGTTGAATTGAACAGGAGAAGATGACACTTCAGAACGATTTTTTTGATTTTTGGTCAGCACATGAGGCACCCACTTACGGAGTTTTTTCATCTTTCCGATTTGTGTCAAATGCTGAACAACCACAAAATGGTCAGCATTGAGTTCTTTCGTAACTTCTCGCATAGTTGTAAGAGGATCAGCTTCGATGATTGCTCTAATGGGTCACTGTCAACTTCCGATGGCCGGCCACCGAGCTCCTCATCTTCCGGGCTCTCGTCTCCTTTGCAATTATGAACCTGTACTGGGTTTCTTTTCATCCAGCACCTTTTTGGCTCCAAAGGTTCCTCTGGGCCTCTCCCGGTCCCGTGAGCCCCAGGAACGGGGTCCCCGGCCTGAGGCCCGCCCTCTGCTGGGTTCCCGCTGCAGGGCACCCCCGTTTCCTCCTGGGTGAACGTCTTTCTGATGCGGTAGAGGAAATGATGGCGACGTGGTTGGTGCCTTTGCTCAATCATTGTCACACTGTTAAAATTACCGCTGGCTCACAGGATCTAGGCTCCACAATGTGTCGTCTGAGGAATCGCAGTGAACTCTGGGTGTTGCCCCCTTTCAGCAGGCACTGCGTGGTCTGGAAACGACTCCCTGTGTCCGCCTCCCCTCGGGCTGCAGCTTCATCGGGGGAGTGCTCCTTGTCTTCATCCCTGTAGTCCTGATGTCCGGCACACAGTGGGCCCTTCATAAATCATGCCTGAGAAAGCCGTTGTTTCTAGAAGGATTCTCAGAAAACCATCCACGTGCTACCAAAAGTGCCATGTCTCTAGAGCTTATGGCACACTTGATCTAATCTTAAAGTGTCCGAAATTATTTGTGTGCAGATGCAAGTCTTTCGTGAGGTTTTTGTAACATTCAGAAAGTTTTCTCTCAGTAAATTGCCAAATACTGTGATTAATTCCATTAAATACTATGTGGCTTTAACTTCAGTTAAATTTGTATATCTTAGTTTGGGGTAGATAATTAACAGGTTAATAGTTTTAAATAATTTATTAAGGTGTGCTGTAATCATTATAGTATAGTTTAGAAGATTTTCTAGTAAATAAATACTTCAGGTCTGCTTATCACGTGAAATTTTCCTTTAATGTTTTCATAGTTTTATGTTTAATATGTAATTCTTTCTTCCAGGAATGCTGACAATTACAGATTTCATTAATATACTACATAGATACTATAAATCACCCATGGTAAGTGCCAGAAATCATTATGTCAAGTAAGTGGAGCTGTGTATGTCTGTGCATGTATACAGAACTGTTCGTGTGTGTGTGTTTTAACATTTTGTGTGTTTTTCTTTTTTGGTACTGGGCTGACAGTGCTGCTGGTCAGTTTCCCAGATACCCACACACACACACACACACATATATGCATGGGGCCTCCCAGATAGCTCAGTTGGTAAAGAATCTGCCTGCAACGCAGGAGACCCCGGTTTGATTCTTGAGTCGGGAAGATCCGCTGGAGAAGGGATAGGCTACCCACTCCAGTATTCTTGGGTTTCCCTTGTGGCTCAGCTGGTGAAGAATTCTGCCTGCAATGCAGGAGACCTGGGTTTGATCCCTGGGTTGGGAAGGTCCACTGGAGAAGGAAATTGGTTACCCACTCCAGTATTCTGGTCTGGAGGATTCCATGGACTGTATGGTCCGTGGGCCTGCAAAGAGTCAGACACGACTGAGCCACTCTCACTTTCATATATATATATATGCAGGAAACCTCGATGTAAATCAGTCTGATATTTGAAGCTTGAAGAAAGTAGTCTCAGGAAACATAGAAACACAGCCTTTTTATTCAGCTTTCAGAAATCCTCAGATTAATGGGATTCTATGTACTTATTTATTGCCTGTGTGCTAAGTAACTTCACTCGCATCCGACTCTTTGCGATCCTATGGAGTGTAGCCCGCCAGGCTCCTCTGTCCGTGAAATTCTCCAGACAAGAACACTGGAGTGGGTTGCCGTGCCCTCCTCTGGGGGATCTTCCTGAACCAGGGATTGAACCAGGGCCTCCTGGCCTCCTGCACTGCAGGCGGATTCTTTCCTGTCTGAGCCGCCAAGGAAGCCCCCGTTTACTGCATAGACTATCCTCTATTGTTTGTCTAGTTGCTCAGTTGTGTCCAACTCTCTTGTCACCCCATGGACTGTAGCCCGCCAGGCTCCTCTGTTCACGGCATTTTCCAAGCAAGGATACTGGAGTAGGTTGCCATTTCCTTCTCCATTCCCGACCCAAGGGTTGAACCCTGCGTCTCCTGCATTGGCAGGCAGATTCTTTCCCACCGAGTCACCAGGAAAGCCCCTACTATAAATTTCACTAGATTTGTGCTCTTTAATGGCATTATGGGCATGCTGTGGCATTGAGATCTACCTGGACGCGTGAATGAAGGAGGCCACTCGTACGCCTTTGGACCAGACGGCTGTGCCCAGTGAAGCCTCGCANCCGAGTCACCAGGAAAGCCCCTACTATAAATTTCACTAGATTTGTGCTCTTTAATGGCATTATGGGCATGCTGTGGCATTGAGATCTACCTGGACGCGTGAATGAAGGAGGCCACTCGTACGCCTTTGGACCAGACGGCTGTGCCCAGTGAAGCCTCGCAGTATGTGAACTGACACAGGATTTACCTTCCAGGCCTGTGGATGTTCATGCAGTTTATTGCAGTTATTCCCAAAACTCCACAACAAGGACTACATGGACACAGTGGTTTTAACAAAGTAAAAATTAAAGTTAGAGAAATTCACTTTTGACATCTTTCTACTGGCTAATTTTAGTGATAGAACTCCCTGGTCCAGTCCCACTGTTTTATAAGTGCATAGTTGGAAACCCACATGTGGCCTTTATCTAACTCTGTGATTTTCGTGATTCTCCCAACTTGTTTGGTTTTTGCTGTTTTTCTTGCTTTATTTCATTGGCTGAGCCCTCCAGTACAGTGCTGACATCATGAAAGCAGACCTCCTTGCCTCATGTGCCCTCCTAGAGGGAAAGTGTTCCGTATTTCACAGTTACTTTGATGACAGCTGTCGTTCTTTCATAGATGCCCTTTATCACATTGAGGATATTGCTTCGTTTTCAGGTTTGCCAGAAGTGTTTCTCATGAAAGGATGCTGAATTGGGCCAGATGCATTCTGCAGCTCTTGAGATTATCATATTCTTTTTCTCCATTCTCTTAGACACCATTTCTTCGAGCATTTTTGTGTCCCCTCCTCCACTTTCTAGGATGCTAGTTACTCAACTAATACTCTTGCAGCATTTTTCCCAGTATTTCCTCTCTGGGCTTCATTTCAGATATATTTTATTTCTATGTCTTCATTTCCATGGTTCCTTCCTCTACAATATCTTACCTACTATTTTTTTTTTTTCCCTTTCAGATAGTATGTTTTCTGTCCTGGGAGTTCCATTTGGATCTTTTTTATATTTTCCATTTCTCTCTCCCTGTAATGTTTATGTTTTCCTTTAAATCCTTGAACATATTATGTCAGTTGTTTTATATGTTTCAGAATCTGTTTCTTTCATCTCTGTTCTGGATCTGATTCTAGTGACTGGTTTTTCTCCTGTCATGGGTCGCATTTCTGCTTCTTACAAATTGCTAATTCCTAATGAATGCTGAATATTAGATATCATATATTATAATATTGTGAATATTATAACATTATGTGGTTGAATATCTGTATTGTCTTCCTTTAAAGAGTATTGGGCTTTGGGCAGGCAGTTAAATTACTTGAAGATCCTTTATTAAAAGCAATTTTGTTGAGATATAATTTGTGTATCTCACAAATTATACACAAATTGGGTATATACACAAATATACACAAATTGTGTATATTTCACCTATTTAGAGTATGCAGTCCAATGGTCTTTAGTATATCACAGAGTTGTGTAGTCATCACTACAGTCAATTTTAGAACATTCTCATTACCCCAAAAAGAAACTTCACACCTCTTAGCTGTGACACACCACCATTCCACCATGACCTCCAACCCCCTAGGCAACCAGTAAGCTACTTTGTAGATCTGCCTATACTGGACACCTCATGTAAATGGGATCACACAATATGTGGTCCTTTGTGACCAACTTCTTTCTCATAACATAGTGTTTTCAAGATTCCTCCATGTTGTAGCATGTATCAGTACTGCATTTCTTTTTGTTGCCGAATAATATTCCATTTTATGGCTATATCACATTTTACTTACCCATTCATCAGGTGATAGACATTTAAATGGTTTCCACTTTTCAGCTATTAGGAATACTGCTGCTATGAACAGACACATCCAGGTGTTTTTGTGAATATCTGTTTTCATTTCTCTTGGGTATAGACCTCAGTTTAGTTCAATTGCTCAGTCATGTTCAATTATTTGCACTCCATGAACTGCAGCACGCCAGGCTTCTCTGTCCATCACCAACTCCTGGAGCCTACTCAAACTCATGTTCATTGAATGTATGATGCTGTCAATCATCTCATCCTCTGTTGTCTCCTGCTCCTCCTGCCTTCAATCTTTCCCAGCATAAGGGTCTTTTCTAATGAGTCAGCTCTTCGCATCAGGTGGCCAAAGTATTGGAGCTTCAGCTTCAGCATCAGTCCTTCCAATGAACACTCAGGACTGATTTCCTTTAGGATGGACTGGTTGGATCTCCATGCAGTCCAAGGGACTCTCAAGAGTCTTCTCCAACACCACAGTTTAAAAGCATCAATTCTTCAGTGCTCAGCTTTCTTTATGGTCCAGCTCTCACATCCATGCAAGACCACTGGAAAAACCACAGCCTTGACTAGACAGACCTCTGTTGGCAAAGTAATGTCTCTGCCTTTTAATATGCTGTCTAGATTGGTCATAACTTTTCTTCCAAGGAGCAAGCGTCTTGTAATTGCATGGCTGCAGTCACCATCGGCAGTGATGTTGGAGCCCAGAAAAGGGTATAGACCTAGGAGCAGAATTCCTGGGTCACACTGTAACCTGTTTAGCGGTTTTCCACAGTGGCTGCAGCATTGCACCTTCCCACAAGCTGTGTGTAGCGCGCCAGTTTCTCCACACCCTCGCTGACACCTGCGGCTCTCTCTGATGACAGCCTTTCTCGTGTGTGTGAGTTGGTACCCAGTTGTTTTGCGTTGCATTTCCCTGATGGCTAATGATGTTGAGAATCTTTTCACGTGCTTCTTTCAAGGCTGGCTTTTAAGCTTTGTCAGAGTGTTAATCATTCCTCTGGCTGGTTTAGCTCTACCAATACTTCAGAGGTCTCTGTGGATTTCCCTGGTTGTTCGGCAAGGACTTTCCACTCTGCGGTCGGAAGGCAAATGTCCTTCAGCGTACGTCTGCCAGGGCTCACAGAGCATCATCCCGTGCATGCCTGCCTAACGTTCCGTCAGAAACTCAAGGAGTTCTGTGCAGCCTTCTCTTTTTCTGGACCCCCAGCCCACTTTGTCTAGTGGTCCGTCCTGCAAGTCCCACGTGGCTCCTTCTGTCTAGACTTTGATTTCTGTGTCCTCAGCTCAGCGTGACATGCTCTGCTAGGGGTCAGCTGCCCGCATCAAGGTCTCGCTGCCTCTAAAGCAGGACATGGCGGTCACAGAACTGCTTGCCTCCCTTCTCTCGGGGACGACCGACCTGCCCCGCCTGTTGTCTCATGTCTGAAAGCAGCTCCACATATTTTTTTCCCCATTTCTGGTCATTTGCAGCAGGAGACTTAAGTGTGGTCTCATCTGTTGCATCAGGGCCAGTAGAGCTCTTTGACTATCTCAGACATACCTTTTGGCACGGTTTTTGCTGTCTTGTGGTTGCTGTTTGCATTTCACTATCAATTTTAACTTAACCACAGTCCATTTAGAGTGAATGTTGGTGTTGTGTAGAAAGTATACTTCCATTTAATCTGCCCCTCGCGTTTTTATTTTAAACAAAATGAGTAAAAGCAAAAAAAAATTAGTTTTTTATATTTACCCACATAGATACCATTGTGGATCTGAGTCACCATCTGTTTTTATTGCATTTGAAGAACACCCACCACCATTTGTGTGGTCCACATCAGTGATGAATTATGTTAGTTTTTGTTTGTCCGACAATGTCATTATTTCATCTTTTGTTTTTTTTAATCTTGATTTTGGAAGGACAGCTTTGCTGTTTTATAGAGATTGAACTTTTGGCACGGTTTTTGCTGTCTTGTGGTTGCTGTTTGCATTTCACTATCAATTTTAACTTAACCACAGTCCATTTAGAGTGAATGTTGGTGTTATGTAGAAAGTATACTTCCATTTAATCTGCCCCTCACATTTTTATTTTAAACAAAATGAGTAAAAGCAAAAAAAATTAGTTTTTTATATTTACCCACATAGATACCATTTTCTGTTCTTTTCTGTGGATCTGAGTCACCATCTGTTTTTATTGCATTTGAAGAACACCCACCACCATTTGTGTGGTCCACATCAGTGATGAATTATCTTAGTTTTTGTTTGTCCGACAATGTCATTATTTCAACTTTTGTTTTTAATATCTTGATTTTGGAAGGACAGCTTTGCTGTTTTATAGAGATTGAGCTGTCTGATTTTGTTTGTTTTCTTTAGCTCTTTGAGTATGTCGTTTTGTCGCCCTTTGCCTCCCAGTGCTTTTGATAAGAAGTCGGTGGAAATGGCTGTCCTTGTGTCCTCTTGGTAAGGCACCAGTTCTGCCTGACTCAAGGCTCTCTCTTTAACTTTGATTTTCAGCTGTTGACTCCAGTGCATCTTTGTATTCATCCTGTTCCGGGTATGTTGAGTTTCCATGATCTTCTAAGTTGCTTTTCTACCTATTTTGGGGGCTGCTGTTTCTTTAAAAAAAAATTTTTTTTTTCAATCTCATTCTCTCTCTCATCTCCTTCTGGGACTTGTATTCCTTATATGTTAGACTACTTGATCCTGTCCTCTAGGTCTCAGTCTTTAGCGCCAGGGATCTTCAGGTAATATCTGTTGATCCATCTTAAACTCACTAATTCTACCTGGGGTGATCTCCAGTCTTACTATCAAACCTTATTTCTTCTGGATGCTTCTTTTCAGTGGGACGGGGACTGTGACTGTGAATGATTTTGTAGCTTCTCTGGAAGATTTTCCAGGCTGATTTTTCACCAACTGGAAACAGCAATTTTAAGTTATCATTTTTATGTCTGTTATAGAAAGAGCTGTTCCTGATGATGAGAGCCACGGCCGCTAGTTTTCCTATTAACCACTGTATTTACACAAGTGGGGGTCCCGGACAGCCTGTTTTTTAAAGCCCAGTTTTGTTCGCAGGCAGTGGTCTCTGGCTTCCTCCCCGCCGTCCCCAGAGCCGGCCGGGGTGCTGCTCACGCCGGGCAGTGGCGGGCCCTCTTGCTTCTCGTCTCCTGCCATCCTGTCCACTCAGGCCCTCCTCTCCCTCCCCGCCGTCCCCAGAGCCGGCCGGGGTGCTGCTCACGCCGGGCAGTGGCGGGCCCTCTAGCTTCTCGTCTCCTGCCAGCCTGTCCACTCAGGCCCTCCTCTCCCTCCCCCGGACCCTCCTGCTCTCCCCGCCCCGTGGCTTCTCTTCTTTGGAGATCTGAGTCCACGCCCTCCACGGGCATTCTCCTTCAGGCCCTCGGTCCTTGCCGGTTGACACCGTGGTCTTCCAGAACCCTCCTCAGGCACCCCCTCCGCCAGGGTGAGCTCCCTGTTGTGCCCCTGGAGTGGATGAGTCCCCATTTCAGTGCCCCCCACGAATTACTCAAGCGGCACTTTTCATGTTGTGTTCTGATTTCGCCAAGGGCAGGGTGTCTCGGCTGGGAGTGATTTTGCCTCCCCCAGGGACATTACGTCTCCTGGCTGGGGAAAGGGTGGGCTGGTCCAACTGGTGTGGAGTGGGCAGAGGCCAAGGATACTACCGAACACAGCGCACAGGACGCCTTAAAACGTCCGTCGTGCCAAGGTCAAGAAGCGCTGTCGTTGGGGTATCTGAGGTTCTTGTTAGGTCGTTCTTAGAGGTAGCGACTCTGTCTTCCGCATGTTTATACCTTATACACACACACCTTCCCATCGTACTGGGGCCAAACGCCCCCAGTTCGTAATAGACCGCCGTGTTAGCCGAGCATGTCCACGCTGCCGACGCAGCTAGACCCCTGAGGGGTCGTGCAGGCAGAAAGCAGGGAGGCCCTCCTCTGCTGGGCTCAGGCTTCACCTCAGAACCGCCTGCGACAGACCAGGATGTTCTGCTTTCAGCTGTAAAAGCCAGAGGCTCATCGTCCTCGTTTAGGAAGCTGACTCCTTCCTCACCCTCCTCTGTGTCCTGGATGCTGTCAGTCACCTAGCATCAACATCGGGAGGTGGGGGCTTCTCATTTATCCATCTGTCTCTGTCTCTCCTCCTTCGTTCTCCTCTAAACCTTTTAATTCTTCTCCCAGTGGCCCCCTCCGTCCCCACAGTCACCATTTCGAGACCCAACCTCCATAACGCTTGGTCTTGCATATGACTCTGGTGCCGTCCCGTGGGCCCTCTGCTTACACCATCAGTGCTGCCCTGGCCTCTTCCCCCCGACACAGAGCCCGCCCCGGCTTGTCAGTCCCCTGGCCCCCGGCTCTGACCCCCACCCCGTCCGTCTCCTTTCTGTGTTTCAGGAACGTGAAGAAGTCCTTTTCTTCTCCGGGCCCTTACTTGGGTTTGAGTTCTGGGTTGACGAGAAGTCCACCCAGCAGGCAGAGCCCGGCTGAAATCTGCCTCCTAAAGGTCTCCGAGTCTGACCTCTGACCTCTGCTCATCCCTGTATCCCCACGATAAGCCCTGTGGAGTCTGCTTCCCCCTCCAGTCAGTGGCGGCTCTGCTCAGGACTGTCTCAGTGTCGCCAGGCTGGGTTGGGAGCTCAGAAAGAGGCCAGGCGTTCCTGCGGCAGGGCTCCAGGAGCCCCCCGGGGTAGCAAGCACTGCAAGAGGCAGCGCCCCATCGTCCCTCACATAGACCTCACAGAGGCTAGTGTGGACGGCCTCCCACCCCATTGTTTAGGGAGGGACGCAGACTCAGAAGCCTTAAGTACTCTGACCGAAAGCAGCAGCCAAGATGCGGTGCTGCACGTGCTGATGACTCCGGGTGATGGCTGCTATCAAACCTGGTCTACCTTGGCGAAGACGCCCGCCCGGTCCAGCATAACCTGACCCAGCAGCTTAACTAGCACGCTCTAACCAACTGCCCCTTTTAAACTAGAGAGGCTAAAAATCTTATATATCCTAAAAAGGAGTGTGTGTTTATATATGTTTAAAATTTGTAGTTAGTATAAGTTGTATACTAACTATATAGTATAAGTTCTAAATTTTAAAGTTTATCACAGGTTTTCAAATTAAATTAATAATATTGTGTTGGTTTATGTTTTAAATTTATACATTTGTCTTCAAAGAAATTCAGAGCACGCTTTATGTCTCTCATTTATATTTCTACTATTTCTGAACTACCTTGCTTGTTTCCCTCTGTTGAATTATGGGACTCAGCAGTAGTTGTGAAATAGTAGTTTCTTTTTTACCTTGTCTTGTATATGTTAACATTTGCAAATAAAAATTTTCCTTATTTCTAGGTACAGATTTATGAATTAGAGGAACATAAGATTGAAACATGGAGGGGTAAGCAATATTGAGTGTTAAAAAATCTTTTTAATAACAGGAAAAAAATATTCTACTTAAACATAAAATGCTTTAGTTTCACAGATCCTCTTCTCTCCACTGTATAAATCTACTATATTAATTAAAACATTCTTTTCTATCTTAATTTTGATACTGTTGTGTGCCATATTACTATAAGTGTTATCCATTCTGTTCAGTACACATGTACAGAGAACCTGTAGCAAGTCTTTATATGAGGCTGGGATGTAAATGAATAAGGAGCAGTGCCCGAGTCTCTGCCCTTCAGTGGGGCCACCATTCACCACTGCGTATTACCTCCCAGATCTTTGTCTTTAGATAGAAAATGCACAAAAGGAATGCCTGAAGTTAACTAAAGCAAGGATCTGTTCCTACTTAAATTTGACCATTATTTCTCTGCAAATTATGGAGAAACATAGAACAAATGAACCTTAAACTAGATGATTTGAATTAAATCACAAGAAAATAACTTCAAGATTACTTTCTTTTGCAACATTGGATTTCACCCTCTGTAATCACAGTACCCTTTTCTGAAATGGAGCCATTTTTAAAATTGTAATTTCAGGGCTGTGAAATCATTGTCTTTAATGAGACCCGTCTTGCTGGGTGGTTGGTACAGCGAGGCCAAAGGGGCAGTCAGCAGGAATGGCACAGCTAGGAGCCAGGGGTGGGCTTCGTTAAGGAGGGATCCTTTGTAGGTGTTCAGGGAGGAGCCTGGATGGAAACAGGGACCCGCTGAAGGTAGTATTTTAATTTAAACCTGAAATTTAGCTTTGTACTTCCCGTTATCTGCTTGGTTTGAAAAGCAACCTTTAGACTGGCTGCAAAATCTGAACATCCGTTAGAATTCTCTAAAGGGCTGGGCCTCTTTTAATCCTGTATGGAAGTTTCATTGAGTGATATATTTGATTTATGGTGGCTTTATCACACCAAACCAAAGTGAGTCAACACGGAATCCACATATTAGCCTATTATGCAGTGAATGTATATTTTAACAGTAGGACAGATACTTCTTAATAAATTCTACTGTTTAAGTAATGTTAGACCAAGGTTTAAGTATATTTATGTTTTGTGTATTATATGGCATTTGGTAGTAATAATAATGTCAAGATTTTCTTGAATGCCTTCTCTATAGAAACCTCAGTAAAGCAGTTTATCTTTACAAAGATGATTTCTGCATACTAGAAAGATCCCCAGATATGGTAGATCTGAGCTTTGGTGTGGAAAATAAAACCTAGTAACATTTGAAGAACAAAGTTTGTTACAGCTTTTATCTTTTAACTTATGAAAATTAGCTTTAGGGGATATCACACTGAGCTTCGTTTCCTGAGGGCGATCATGACTTGGCAATATTCTGGTGACCTCTGTTGGTACTGCTCTTTTACTAGATTTCTTGACTTTTCTGGTTTTTACAATATCTATGGTAATATTGTTTTTAAATACTTTTCCACAAAGACACCATATGAAAAACAGTGTGGAACTTGTTTAAAATAACCATAACTATCATTAACACAATCGTTTTCAGTAAGTTAATTCAGTTTGGGTTTTTAATCCTTCTAATCATTGTCTGTAAATGGAAGGATATTTTAACTTAATAATTACAAATAGCAACTATGTTACTAATTACATATTTTCTTTCTATAAATACAGAGCTTTATTTACAAGAAACATTTAAACCTTTAGTGAATATATCTCCAGATGCAAGGTAAACGTGTCAAGTTTTTCTCCTTTGAAAACATTCATTCATTCAGATTCATCCATTTTGTGACCATGGGTAACAGGTTATTTTTGTCTAGATGGGGGCCAGCCTTTAGTATTAAGTTCAGTAAACTTAAGAGACAGTGGAAATCACCGCCACTGTCAGTCCAGAGGGTTGGTGATGGACTAGAAGGTGGTCGTACTAAGCAGCTAGAGAATCCAGATCACCTGCAACAGAAGCCAAGTGGGGAGCTGTTTAGTTATTAGAGCTGCTGATCACTGAGCTGTCCTCCCAGCCTCGCAGACCAGCCTTTGAAGGGTGTCGTGCCCGGGAATGTGCATTACAGCAGCTCCCCCAGGGGTTCTGATGGGCACTGAAGCTGAGCAGTCAGCCTCCTCAGGCACTGGTCCAGAGGTGGTCAGAGGCAGGGCTGCCCTCAGTCGTCCTGCTGGACGTCCCACTGTCCCAGATCCAGGAGCTTCCCAAAATTAAAGGCAGACATGAAACCACAGGTCCAGGAAGTTGGCAACACATGTGGAACCAACCAGGCCTCCTGGGAGCGTCTCAGAGACGTCTCTACGTTCGTATAAAAGCATTCTTAAAACTAGTGCTCTAGTGAGGAAAGCGTGGGCTTCCCTGGTGGCTCCGACGGTAAAGAACCTGCCTGCCAATGCAGGAGACCCAGGTTTGGTCCCTGGGTCAGGAAGGTCCCCTGGAGAAGGAAATGGCAACCCACTCCAGTATTCTTGCCTGGAGAACCCCATGGACAGAGGAGCCTTGCGGGCTGCGGTCCATGGGATTGGAAAGAACAGGACACGACTGAGCACACACACACACACATGCGGTGAGAAAAGGTGGAATACTGATTTTTATTTCCAAGACCTAAAAAAGCAGCTCCACCCAGCACCCACTCCTTGTCTGCAGTCACAGGAGAAGCCAGAACAGGATGTGGCCAGTGAGTGAAGTCAGGGCAGCCATGCCAAGCCCACCACAGTGCCCTCTGTTCCCAGGGCTGTCCATTAGCTTCCCTGGGGGGTAGCTTCTGTCCTTTCAAGAAGTATCAACCCTGCTATTACGAAAACTGCTCTCCTAGAGGTTTGTTGCTTTCATTTGGGTTTGAGGTTTTATATCAACACCGATTGTGGAAGATCAAAAATTTTGCTGAAGTTTGCAGTCTAAAACTTTTCCAGAACACTTTAATGTCTATCAACCTTTTAATAATTGTTACTGAAAGGCATTGAAGATACATTGAAAGCAGGGGTGGTCCACAGTTTTCTAATTCTTCTTTAAAGCCTCCTAACAACTGTAATGGCTTTTCCCGCAGCCTCTTCGATGCTGTGCACTCGTTGATCAAAAATAAAATCCACAGATTGCCAGTTATTGACCCCATCAGTGGGAATGCACTTTATATACTTACCCACAAAAGAATCCTCAAGTTCCTCCAGCTTTTTGTAAGTAGTTTTTAGTGTTTCTAAAGATGTAGTTGCATCTGCTTTAACTAATTTACTTCAAGTAAATTGACTCCCTGTTACCCTCATAGAAGAAATTTGTTAGTTTTGAGGTCTCCGTTTCTAAACTTCCATTTCTCAGCTCACTGCTATTCGAATTGCACATTCTCAAAGTTGATTCCAATTAAAAAGCAATCCCCTTTTAGCACAAGTATCAAAATATTAAAAACACTTTGAATTCTCTATTTAAATAAGAATATTTTTATCGCTTGAAATGAGGGGACATAAAGCAATTTGCAGGTCAGTCTAATTAAGGATAGACCTAAGATAACGAGCCAGATTGCCTTATTAAGCTTTATTGGTATCATGGTTTTGGAAATATATTCAAAAAGTCTTGTCCCCCAGATTATCTTATTATTATAAGTGCAGCAGTGATGGAAAAACCCAAAGCAAATAAAATTTTGACCAAGAGAATACCATGTTGGTCCAAATGAGGGCTATATTTTCTGTAGGTTTTGCCAGCTGTGTTTGAAATAAGATGGCTTCATAATCAGCAAAAACGTAGAACCTCTTTGCTTCACAGTGTTAAAAAGAGGCTCAGAGGACCAGAATGTTTACAGAAGGGCTTTAATCTTTTTTTCTCTCTAATTATATGCACTGAAATTGAGGTTATAAGTAATTGGTCAGCTGGAACCAGTAGGTGGCCTCATTCATGGTTCAGAAGAGATCATATTAAGAATCATTCTTTAAAAGAAGGTAAAATCTGCATGAGGTTAGCTTTGGCGTCTTCCCTCCAGCTTCAGATAAGGAAGTAATGTAGCATCTGGTGTGACACGCAAGAGCTCAGCTGCTCTTGGCACCTGCCCCCACCCCCCAAACCCCTTGCCAGACAGCAGCACAGAGAGTTTAGTGAAGACTGGGAGGGAAAAACAAAAGACTGGGAGAAACGCCTTGTCCATCAGAACAGCCCTGTGTTCTAGTAAGTTTGTGTAAATGCAACCCTCTTCATGCTTAAATGCATAGCAAGAGTAGGAAGGAGAAGAGCTAATTTACAAAAAAAAAAACAAAACATGAAGTTTGGTAGAGACAGTCCAGGGGAGAACTGCAGAGGCATGGATCTTGATGGTCAGACTCCCCGTCTGCCGTGGGCTGGATGCAGTCCCCTTGGCTCTAGCTCCAGCAGGACCCCGGGCAGGGGCTGGGCCAGGCCCTTCGCCCACGTACCCCTCAGAGTCATCATTTAAAAAGAATACGAATCAGGAGCACCAAACACCACTAAGCACTGACACTGCGTCAGGCACTTCACATGATAAACCTGATCCCCGCCACCACCCTTCTCAGGTAGGTATTTTTACTCATCTGATTCGTAAGCGATACAGTTCAGCGAGGTGGTGTGGCTTCGCCACGGTAGCCCTCGCTGCCCCCGCCCCCCTCGGGAGGTGGCTCGGGTCCTAGCGCTCAGGGCGCCTGGCTCACAGACCCAGACCCCGGGTGGCCGAGCTCCAGCCCACTTCCATGGCCGCGCTGTCGAGGAAGAACCACCCATAGTCAGAGACTGGCCTTGGGCGGTTTTTCTCTTCTATACAAAGGAGAGGAGGTTGCCTCTGCCAGTCCTGCCTTCTATTTGGGCCAATATGGTCATTACAATCATGCTGTTAGAGTGTCCAGCTAGGAATTTCCAGATAAAAAATGAAGAATTCTAAAGCCTGATTCTTACTGACTTGAAAGCACTCTCTCAGAAGCAGTAGCATTGCCCCTGGAGACATTTGCCCATTAGCCTGAGTGGACAGTGTGGATCAGGGGTTAGTGATCCTGCATCGAGATGGGCTAGGTGACCTAATAGGCCTTTCTTTTTTTTTTTTTCTCTAAATTTCTAGGATTCTCATGATTTGAATATTGATGAACTCTTTGACTTGAACATTTTGTTTCTTCTAATTGTTCATCTTTTCCTGATAATTATAAGGTACACCAGGAGGACGGAATCAACTGTGCCCTTTATAAAAGGTGGATTTTTGAAACCATAGAACCTTGTTTTGTTTTAGTCAAACGTGACCCTAGGCTTCTCTCTTCTGACTTCTCCCTCCTCCTCTAAAACAGCCCATGAAAAGAAAAGTTAACTTTTAAATGTTCTTCTAATTCTATTCGGTTGGCTTGTTCTTGTTCCTCATAGACAAAAATTGAAGTCCTCCAAAGGAGAATTCGGGATGTTAGAGGTGGGATGGGGTGAGAACTGGCTTAGCCGCTCAGCTAGCCACCATCCAACACTTCGGGTTTGGAAGCGTGTGGCTTCTTAGTAACTGTTACTTAAAGATGACAGCAGGACCACGAATTTAACAGGAATAATTTTAAAAGGTTCTTGGTGGCTGATGGGCCTTAATATCCAAACAGACTTGTTCCCTTCTGTCCACTTTCCCAGTGAATGAAGAGGAGAAAATGTTAGTTTTACTAAGTACTTAAATAGAAGCTTAGACATACAGGCTGGTTTGAACAAAGACACAGTCCTTATATGTAACATTTTCATATTAATTCAGATTTCCGAGTAGATTTCTAGAAAAGACTAATTTGTTGCACATAGTTTTTCATCAAGTGTGGACATGTGAAGGTTAACAGGGTGTGTCTTGGCTCTCGAGCATCTGTACTATCTTCCTGTCTAGATGTCTGATATGCCAAAGCCTGCCTTCATGAAGCAGAACCTGGACGCACTTGGAATCGGGACCTACCATAACATCGCCTTCATACACCCGGACACTCCCATCATTAAAGCCTTGAACGTTTTCGTGGAAAGACGAGTGTCGGCCTTGCCCGTGGTGGACGAGTCAGGTCTGTGTGCCAAGCCATACCTGTTGTCTCCTTAGGGTAAAGTGTGTGTGTTAATCACTCAGTCGTGTCTGACTCTTTGCGACCCCATGGACTGTAGCCCGCCAGGCCCCTCTGTCCTTGGAATTCTCCAGGCAAGAATACTGGAGTGGGTCGCCATTTCCTCCTTCAGGGCATCTTCCTGACCCACAGATCAGACCTGGGTCTCCTGCATTGCAGACAGATTCTTTACCATCTGAGCCACTATGGAAGTCCCGCTTAGGGTAAAATTATTGTTAAATGACCTGGCATATCAGATAAGTGGGGAAAAGGAAAACTTAGATCAGGGAGCACTCAGCATAATAAGCATATTTTCCATTAAGATATGATTTCATATCTGTTTTTAAACAGACAAATTTATTTTGTTTAGCAGTATTTAATTCCTAGTGATTATCTAGTTAAAATTGATATTAAATGCTGTTTTTTGTTTCTAAGACTTTTTCTAACATATATTTTTATTTTTAGGAAAAGTTGTAGATATTTATTCCAAATTTGATGTAATTGTAAGTATTTTTAATTTTGTTAAACCTGTCGTCTAAAATTCCCATGAAGCATATTCATTACTCTGTTTTTGTGATTTTTCCTAACTTAATAATTCCTGGCTTATTTGAGGATGAGGATCTTATCAGAGAATTCCATAGACTCCCCCATAATAATTGTACTTTTATTGGTATTTTATTCATTGATTTAGCAGTGAATAGCATACTAGCAGCATTTTATAATTCTTTTTCAGATCAGCCATGACTTATCTGTTACTATAGCATGTGTGTATATTAAGTGGTCATGTTTCTCTGTGGGAGACAGTAGTTCATTCTGCCAACAGGCGTGGGCCTAATACACACGTGGATCCCTGGGTACACATATACCCCACTGCTTGCTGATTGGCAGCAGCTGTTCTAAAGAGGACAGCAAACCTATTACATAGCGTTATATAAAGATCTTCTTTAATCCCTGGTTTATTATTCTTTAATCCCTGGTTTAAATTTACTAGATTGATTTTGGTGCTACATCCTTCCACTTGGTGCTTCCCCCCCCCCCCCAACCCCGGCCCGGCTCATTTAAATGCATTTCCTTAGAGTTTTACATTAATTCTAAGAAAGGGAACTGAAACTTTGATAGCCCCAAACATGCACATCTTTTTTTTTTTTTTTTGGCCACAATATTGACTGCAGCATTTAAGTATTCTTTTGTAGCTGTCTCAAACCCTTATGTTTCATCCTGTTCCGTTTAACGTATTAGACAGCATAAAACAGGCTTACTGGAATCTGGCTGGGTGGGACCCCTCTAAGCTGAATCAGAGCCTTAAGAACCGCTCAGATCTACAGGACTTCCTCCACGAGTGCTTGGCCCTGACGGCTCCCCACCCCCACGCCTTCCTGGCAGAAACTTTCCTCCCCAGCCCTGGGGACTTCTCACCATTGGCAAATGTCAGTCCACCTCTCAAAAGACTCTATACATCAGGGAACAGCCTGTAGAGTAAGAGGGAGAGGGATAAATTAGAGTTTGGGATTAGCAGATACAAATTACTGTATGTAAAATAGATGAAGAAGATCCTACTGTAGAACACAGGAAACTATATTTAAGATCTGGTAATAACCTAAATGAAAAAAATACATATATATGACTAATTCACTTTGCTGTATACCAAAGAGTAACACTACCTTGTAAATCAACTATATTTCAATTAGAAAAAAAAAGAACCCTACTGGGTAAAAATGGGGGACTCTTCCATAGGTCACACAGTCAGAATTTAACACAATTGCTTCATAGTAAAATTATACCTTACAAGCTTTACTGTTGATAAGATGATGAAATAACAGAACTGATGGCATGTGTTAAGCTGGTACCATGGTACTAAATTAAGATGAAAATTAATGTTTTTTTAAAAATCAGGTTGCTTTGAATTTGCTTTGGTCATTAATGTGAATGGAAACAAGGGATATAACTCACTGCTACTTGATTACAGAACCTTGCTGCTGAAAAAACGTACAACAATCTAGACATCACAGTGACCCAGGCCCTACAGCATCGGTCGCAGTATTTCGAGGGTGTAGTGAAGTGCAGTAAGCTGGAGATACTGGAGACCATCGTGGACAGAATCGTGAGAGCAGAGGTGAGGCGGCTATGCTCACACACAGACACACACACACACGTCCCTCCCACCTCCCTCCTTCCTTCCCTCCACCAGCACTAACTAGGAAGCGGGGCCCCAGGAATTCCGAGTCACAGGAGCAGCCCCTGAAGCAGCCTTCCAGTCCAGTCATGTGGCAGTCTCTTGCTGTAGAGTGTATCGCGTGTCTCGGCACTTAGTAGGTCATCTGTGATGTCTTGGCACCTAGTAGGTCATCTGTGAATGGCCACTGAATTAAATTTATAAGTCCTGATGTCATAGCCGAATCAAATAATTGGGTAGGCTACTTTCGTGGTTTTAAAACTTAAGAAAACAGAAGTCCCAAGAGCTTTAAGTTTCATTAGGGTGTTAGTGAATTTAAAGCTATAGATGTAATTATATAGTTTTAACAAAGTAAGTCAATAAAACTGTGCTCTGATCTTTTACTGAGTTAGAGTAATTGTCTTCCTATCAGTGTGGCTCTTCCTGATTTAAACCGTAAATGGTCAGTCCATCTCCTGACCCTCAGCCTCATGTCCCCTTTTATTTTACTGCTTGCAAGATTTTTTAATATACTTTCCATAACACTCTAAATAAAAGATGCACAGGATCACCCCCATAGTGTATCAAATACATTAAACCCATCCTCAGATAATTTCTTTCCTTTCTTGTTAGGGATAGGGAATTACCCTCTTTATCAGTCTTTAGGACTGAAGCATTGATGCGACTGTGTTCCTCCTAACCCTTAACTGGGCAAAAGCCGTTCATCAGTCTACTCAGATTTATATTTAAATGCAAGGATGCAGTCCAAGAAGAAAAGTACCTGAGTGTTTTCAGGCTCATGGCGGGTGACCTCAGCATGCTTTCTGACTCTTGCCTGTGACATGGTGTGGATTCTGGAGTCCCTGTTCAGGAGCCAGCGGCGCCCAAGCCCACCAGCCCTGCCCATGTCGCACGTGTGAAGAGCCCCACTGCCCTGTCTTGGGGCCGACGCCCCAGCTTCAGCCGCCAGGCTTTACCCTGTTTCCCTAGCCTCAACATGAAGGCGTTCCTTTTTCTACTTGACTTTAATACCCATTACTAGTTTTCCAAAGGGCTTTAAGTGGCTTAGGAATACATCTAAGCTTCCTATTGTTCTTTTATGTGCCTTTTGAAGATCATAAGAAATCCCTCCGTAATTATAAGGACAATGGACCACATCCATCTGAGGGACTCCTTTATAGTGATTAAGGATCATGTTAAAGGAGGATGCTCTTGATATGGAAAAACAATATATTGCCAAGAAGAAAGGCCAATATAAAGCGTAATCCTTTGTGTGAACATAACGCTCACATGCATAGAAAAGAGTCTACAAAGACTTGCACCTCAGTACTGACACGACTGTTTCTGGGGACGTGAGGACGTGGGGAGTGCCAGCACTCCTGCGTATTCCCACGCCCCTGTTTAAGCGTGTGTTACTGTCACATAAAAGGAGAAAGTGATTGGCTTGTCCTGGAAGTTCATCAGGTGAGCAACACAAATTTCACTGTAATATGAAATAGGTCATTGAGGAAAATAAAAACATAATTAAAGTTTTCTGGTTACCCATCTTGACTTTTTTCCTCATTAATTATTTTCCACCAAAATATGTTGAAGCTGAAAACTGGGGACAAAGACCAGTTTTTAGCTTCAACATATTTTGTTACGAGAAGGGTATACATCAGCAATGAATATATCAGTGATGATTTGCCTTATTTATATAATGAATATCACACTAGCTTTTAGAAAAGGAACATCTGTAAGTTTAGACTCACCAACAAATAAAATACTTTTGGTGCAACTAATTCTAAGTGAAATGGTTTCCCCTTGACCTTTAGTAGTTCAAAAGAGAGTCATTTATCATTATTAAATATTAACAACCAACTGTGTCTAGTATAGAATATAAAGCATTCTCTGACCCTAACTGTCAAGCATCAATTTATGATCACAGTTAATAGATAACTGTGTTATATCACAGGGTGATTGAAGAACCTAAATTGTTCTAGAGGAGCTTTTAAAAGAAATGTACAATTAGCATGATTAAGATGACAGAGTAATTTCCTTTTTAACCTAAGAGCAAGCTATGATGTCAGAAGCGTCACCAACACAGTATCATTCGAGACAGACTTTGAAAAGGATGCCCCTCCTCCCTCCATCTCCTTGCTGTGCTCCCCACCCCTGATTCTGCACCAGCCAGGGTTTCTGTTGTCAGCATGAGGAAGAGAATCTCCAAGCTGGCCGCCGGCATGTGGTTGCCTCAGGCCTGAATCCTAAAGCCCATACATCAGAGAAGCTCTATGCTCACCCTCTCTTTCCTGAGGACACCTTGTTACAGGAATACCTCAAACACTGTCCACTTATAAAAGGCTTTCAAGTAGAAAACAGGACATGAATGTAATTTATTTCACTGTATTATAGTTGATTATCCTCTGTTATTCTTAATATATGAACTTCATAGAGAAAAAAGAAAAAATAAGCATAGTGACCTTTTAGTTTTGCTGTTTATTTGGACTTCTCTGCCATGTAAAACAGTTATCTGATAGTTACTAGAAACCAAAGTACAACGGTAAAAAAAATCTAAAACCATTTAAGAGATTATAGCTACATGAAATAGCTACTGCTACACTTCATGTTTTGAGTTGTATCTTCCATGTATTAATATTTTGAAAATAGAAAGCTCAGCCAGACATAGCCAGCCAATGTTTCTTGTGTGCATGAGGGCTAAGTTGCTTCAGTCGTGTCCGACTCTTTGCAATGCTTTGGACTGTAGCCCTCCAGAGGATCTTTCTGACCCAGGGATCAAACCCAGGTCTCCTGCATCGCAGGCAGATTCTGTATTGTCTGAGCCACTAGAGGTTGTTACTCACTGTATAGTACGTGAAAGATTTTCTTTCTAAGGTTCACTTTAAAACTTGACTTATTTCAGCTTTCACATGTGGGGCCTCCTCTTCTCTCGTTTGCAGGTCCATCGGCTGGTGGTCGTCAATGAAGCCGATAGTATTGTGGGAATTATTTCCCTGTCCGATATCCTGCAGGCCCTGATACTCACCCCCGCAGGTATAAATGCTAGTGTCTGACCTTCACCGTAAGTACATGGCAGGGGGTGGGGGCGTGCAGTAAGCCCTTCCCTAGCACCTGCCAGCCGCAGCCTTCTCTACAGTAGCTCATCAAGCATTTTCATTTTCATTGTGGTTTTGAAGTTTCACTGTCCTACTTGAGAGAGAAAAGTCTATAGAAAAGTATTCTGACTTAGGAGCATCCTATTGATACCCAGTCCTTGAGTAATCAAGGACTTATTGCCATGTTCATCATAACCTTTTCCTTTAAAAAGAGTTCCTCGGTTTCGCTTTATTTTAGGGCTGCTAACTGGAAATCAGGAAAGAAATTCTTTGGGATCCACCTATTGAAACCATCCTTGGGTTCAGGCCCTGGGTTGGGAAGATCCCCTGGAGAAGAAAATGGCAACCCACTCTAGTATTCTTGCCTGGAGAATCTCATGGACGGAGGAGACTGGCAGGCTACAGTCCATGGGGTCACAAAGAATTGGACACGAATGAGTGACTAACACTTTCACTTTCACCCTTCGAAAAGAACTTACTAGTAGTGACTATATAAAACAAATGAGCTGCACAAACTTTTCCATTAATAGTATATTAATAGTTAATTACATTAACTGCCAAATGACATTTGGTGACTAAACTCATTTTCTCCCAGATTCACTCTAAGCAAACCCTCAGGTCACAGTCAGGAGCCTGCAGGACTGGGGAGGGGGCTTGTTTTTTAGGGGGGTGGAGGGGGCTTTAGAAGAGAGAAGTTGGTGTTTCTTCCATGCCACAGTTTACTAGATGGGTCCTAAAACCACCACCCCCGCCTCTACCCACCCCCACCCCCCATCCTACCGTACTAAGCATTTACAGGTAGGCCAGCCTCAGGCCTCACAGATCAAGGCCAAGACCTGAGAGTAAATGATATGCCCTTTGAACTCTTAAGTTAAACATTAAAATTTGCATTTACTAGGGTATTGATTTTCCTTTAGTTCAGAATCAGACTGGCTACGACCAGTTTTTACAATTGGCCCGTGACCTGAATTGGCCCGTGACCTGAAGACACCCGCCCTAAAGGACCCCCACCACCAGCAGGAAGCAGACCCCCCTACGCGAGGAGGGCGGGGGCGGGAGCTTGGCCCCAGGGCCGGGGCTCGCAAAGCTGCAGCAGCACCTGGCCGGTGTCGGAGAAGTCCAGGGGGCCCAGCCTGCGTCCGCTGAGTCGAACCTCTCGAGATGGGGCTTGCCGCAGTCATTTTCAAATCTCGGACATTACAGAACTTCACTTTAAGGACAAGTTTCAGGACAGCGTTAGAGGTCAACCTCTGCACACACCACAAGCGATCAGCCTTCAAGTCCAGCCACCACCGTGCAGCTGACCCCTCACCCATGGCACTGCTCATCCCCCTTTCCTTCTGGAAACCAGTCCTCTGTTCTCCGTGTGTTTTTGTCATTATTTCATCAGTTTTGGCTCAGGGTTTGTTTTTTTTTTTAAGATTCCACATATGAATGAAATCCTATGGTATTTATCTTTTCCTGTCTTATTTCATGCTGAAATAAGTGAAAGATCCATCCACGTTGTCAAAAATGGCAGGATTTCATTTTTTTCCAGCTCATGATAATCTCTATAGTCATGAAATGAGAAAAGGACTAAAAGAATGTGAGATTGTCCATAGCATTACTTACAGCAACCTAACACTGGGAATAACCCAGACATCTTTGAGCGCAAGAATGGACAGACAGCATTCTGTCCGTTGGTGGAATGGATGGATGGTGAACGCACAGCTGTATCTGACAGTGGACGAACCTCACAGACAAACCATAGCGCGAGGAAGCAGGGCCAGTGTGGCGTGTGTGGTTCCACTGGTGTACAGCTCACCCTTGAACGTTACGAGTCCACTTCTACGTGGAATTTTTTCAGTAGTAAAGACCGCAGTCCCACACGGCCCATAGCTAACGCACAGCTGTATCTGACAGTGGACGAACCTCACAGACAAACCATAGCGCGAGGAAGCAGGGCCAGTGTGGCGTGTGTGGTTCCACTGGTGTACGGCTGACCCTTGAACATTACGAGTCCACTTCTACGTGGAATGTTTTCAGTAGTAAAGACCGCAGTCCCACACGGCCCATGGCTGGTTGAATCCACAGAGGCGCAGCCAAGGATGCGAGGGGAACGTGGGTACAGAGGCCGAGCTGTATGCAGTGCCCCGGCCCCCTATGTTCACCAGCCAGCTCTACAGCGCCTCCATGCACGTGAGGGAAAGGACTCTCCTCCACTCAGCCTCATCCCCACGGCCACGTCACTTGGCACCTTGACAAAAAGACACCCCTTTTCTAGCCGGCTGGCCCTGGGCCAAGGCACACAGCTTGCTGGGCAGAGTCAGGCCAAACATCAGCTCGCTTCTGTCCCCGAGGCCAAGATTCTTTGTGCATCACAAATTCACAGTAAGCAATTCTTGATCCTGTCTGTGCCTTGGCGTCACAGACCAGAAGAATGAGAATGTTCATCTGGGCGAGTTTAAATTTCCATCCAGATTGGATTTTTTTAAAAATTCTAAGTCACTGATGCAAGTCAGCATTAATGAGATTGCAAGAAGGAAACCTGGGCCACAGCTGGATTTGAAATGTATGTTAACACAGAAATAGCATTATGAAGACAGGGATAGTCAAATTAAGAGTTCTTTCTAGTACAGTGGATGTAACACTGTTTATTTAAGGACATGCCCTGTGCTCCCAGTAACTGGATTATCCGTGAGCCTTGGGGGCAGAGCTCTCTTGGAATGGAGGGAGCACCTCCTTCAGACCAGAGGTTCCCACGCACCAGTCACAGTGTGGTGGGAATGTCAAACCAGAGGTCCCGCTTGGGTAGCCAACCCCGCTCTCCGCCTGCTCTCCCCCAGAGCTGTAAAGAGTGTGGGCCAGCTCGAGGCTCCCCTGTGCAGCCTCCACCCCTTCTACAGAATGAGCAGCCAACACAGGCCTGTCCCTCCTGAGATCCGTACCCTGATTGAAACCGCACCGCGAGGCCCCACGCCCAGGATGAGCACTGTGCTGTGGATGTTTAGGGAAAAATGAGTAAGAGATGCTTTTGAAAGCATCACTATTATGTGAAGAAAAGGGCAGTTCAGTTCAGTTGCTCGGTGGTGTCCAACTCTTTGCCACCCCATGGACTGCAGCACGCCAGGCCTCCCTGTCCATCACCAACTCCCAGAGCTTACTCAAACTCATGTTCATCGAGTTGGTGATGCCATCCAACCATCTCATCCCCTGTCGTCCCCTTCTCCTCCTGCCTTCCATCTTTCCCAGCATCAGGGTCTTTTCCAATGAGTCAGTTCTTTACATCAGGTGGCCAGAGTATTGGAGTTTCAGCTTCAGCATCAGTCCTTCCAATGAACATTCAGGACTGATCTCCTTTAGGATGGACTGGTTGGATCTCCTTGCAGTCCAAGGGATTCTCGAGTCTTCTCCAACACTACAGTTCAAAAGCATCAATTCTTTGGCACTCAGCTTTCTTTATGGTCCAATTCTCACATTCATACATAGCTACTGGAGAAACCATAGCTTTGACTAGACGAACCTTTGTTGGCAAAATAATGTCTCTGCTTTTACCAGTAGTTATTCTTTTCACTGGATAATGGACACAGTTCCCCATTAAGGATACTGATTTGATATATAACATTTTCTCTTGTTGAAAAAAGTTTTAGCTATAGTTCATTGTCCAGCTTATCTCAGATGTTTCAAGTGAACTTAAGTATCTACACATGCAACCAGTGAGTCAACAGCCCAATCGCAGTAGCTACAATCTTTTAACCCCTTATTTTTATAGATTGTTAATCTCTTTCGAAGTGAACTGTCTTCTAGTGTCTGATGAGGAAACAGAGAAGCTGTTGTAATGAAAAATAAAAACAACTGCCCCCTCCCAACCCATTTAGAAATATCCTGGCCAGATGAGAGTAGGTGTTAGGTGCAGGTACTGTCAACATGTTACAATGTGGTTTTTTTTCATATTTTTTTGTAAGTATATACAACGGAAGTACTTTGCACCTTTGCTAAAACTTAAATACACATTTCTTTTAAAAATTTTTAGCAGCAAAACCCTCTTCTTTTCAAATTAAACCTTGCACAGTTAGAGTTGCAATATGCAGTATGGATTAAAGGCATGCTGCAGCCATGGGGGGCAGGGGGTGGAGCCCGGACCCACCTGCTCATTGCCCACAACTCGTGAGGCTCTGCAGGTGAGGGTAGGAGCCGTGGGGTGGAGAACCACCTCTGTGCGCACCTAGGACCGGTGCAGCGGCAGCATATTCTTACATTGCTTTGAAACCTCCATTTCCTATCTCCTGGCAGGTGCCAAACAGAAGGAAACGGAAGCCGAGTGACCCCCGTGAGCGGAGGAGCCCTCGCAGGAGAACTTGAACAAAGATGCTGGGTCACGCTTTGCCTCATGAACACGGACCGCGATGAACACAGCAAAAATGGCTGAGAACGTGTGGTATCAGGGTTTATCGATGGGTTTTTTTTTTTCCCAGTGATTTTGACACGAAGCATAAAAAGAGAAAGCTTGTATGTGTTTGAAGATTTCAAGCTTGCATTAAAAGACTGTTCTCAGACCATCGTCTGAAAGATTTCAAATGCTGTATGTCATTAAAGTGCACTGTGTCCTGCGTTTTTATTCTTTTTCATGTTAAAGAAGTCACTGGTATCTTAACAGGCAGCATGACATAAGGCGAGTGTGTGGCCTATTGAGAACTAGTGCCTTATGTCGGAACAGCAGCCCATCATCCCCGCTGCCCGCAGCGGCCGGAACATGTCCTGGCGAAGCGGCACTGCTGCAGTGTGAACGTCTCTGAACCTGTACCAAATCAGTTTGTCTTCATTCAATTTGTTGACTAGCTGTAATCTGAATATAAATAATTTACTTTATATAAAATTTTAATGATGGTCTTACGTTTAAGTGTTCCGTTCTGAACCATAGTGTAAAACAAGGCTGACTTACAGCAGCTTTATTTATTTTTTACTTCCATGCAATTTTTTTACACATCTTTTTGGTGGGTAAACTTCACCATACCCATGAATAAACCATTGGTTGCTACTTTGAAAGGGCAGATTTCTCGTCATTTCAGTTCAGACCTGGAAAGGATAAGACTTCTCAAAGAGCCAGTGTTGGGTTTTAAAAGCTGACATTTCTAACAGCATGTGTGGGAACCTGCTCTGCAGGGCTGCAAACAAAGTGCCCGGAAGATGTCTATTTTTTTTTTCTTGTGTTTTGACATGAAAATCATGATGTCTGTATGACTGCTGATGGAATTGTTTTGTAAATTTTACTGTGGCATATACAGTATTGTCATATGGTTGAGGAGAAACACAATGTTTCCTAGTGTAAGTGCTCTGAAAATGTTGACACTGTGTGTGTGTGTGTGTGTGTGTGTGTGTGTATACACACACGGGTATAGTTTGGTTTTTTGTTTTTGGGTTTGTTTTTTTTTTTGCAGATTGAAAACTTAAAATAAATCTTACTATCTGCCGTCTTGTTAAAGAAGTTCTTTAAAATACTTTGTATTTGAGCACACATTAATTAAAATCCTACATGCAATTTCCCACTTAGATCTTTCTCCCCAAATAAAGGAGAACATGCATTCTCCTATTCTTTTTTACATCAACAGGAAAAAAAACCTTAATGATTTGATTCGTAAACTTTATCTCTCTCCATTATTAAATAAAACATTTCATTTAAAATTTCCATGCATATTTTTTTATGCTAGGGATCAATTTTTTCATCTAACAGGCCAAATATGAAAGAGATTTTGCCTGTTTTCCCCATAGAAACAGTAGTGTTTGTGATTTAGGCTAATGGTAAATCTTGGAGAACAATGAAATATCAGAGAAAGTTAAAAAAATACTGGGTAATAAACCTGACCAAGAAGATATGCTAAGAACTGTAAAACACTGATAAAGGAAATTGAAGATGATTCAAAAAAATGGAAATATATCCCATGCTCTTAGACTGGAAGAATTGACATTGTTAAAATGGCCGTGTTACCCAAAGCAGTCTATAGATTTAATGCAATCCCTATCAAGTTACTCATGACATTTTTTACTAGAACAACTAATACTAAAATTTATATGGAAACACAAAAGACCCAGAATTGCCNAGTTCAGTTGCTCAGTCGTGTCTGACTCTTTGCGACCCCATGAATCGCAGCACACCAGGCCTCCCTGTCCATCACCAACTCCTGAGAGTTTACTCAAACTCCTGTCCATTGACTATGATGCCATCCAGCCATCTCATTATTAGAGAAATACAAATCCAAACTACAATGAGGTGCTACTTCACACCAGTTAGAAAGGCCATTATCAATGGACAGGAGTTTGAGTAAACTCTCAGGAGTTGGTGATGGACAGGGAGGCCTGGTGTGCTGCGATTCATGGGGTCGCAAAGAGTCAGACACGACTGAGCAACTGAACTGAACTGAATCAAACATACAAGCTTTTGCATGGCAAAGGAAACCATAAACGAAAAGCCTACAGACTGGGAGAGAATATTTACCAACAATGTGATCAAAAAAGGCCTAATTTCCAAAATATACAAACAGCCCATATAATTCAATAACAATCAAAAAATGGGCAGACAACCTAAACAGACATTTCTCCAAAGAGGGCATACAGGTGGTATGAAAAGATGCTAACCATCACTAATTATTAGAGAAATGCAAATCAAAACTACAATGAGGTATATTGCCTCACCCAAGTCAGAATGGTCATCATCCAAAAGTACAAAATATGCCTGAGAGGGTGTAGAGAAAAAGGAACTCAAACTGTCGGTGGGAATGCAATTGGTGCAGGCACTATGGAGAACAGTATGGAGGATCATTAACTAAAAATAGGGTTGCCATATGATCTTGCAATCCCACTCCTGGGCATATAGCCAGAAACTCTAATTAGAAAAGATGCATGTATCGCAGTGTTCATAGCAGCACTATTTCAATAGCCAAGACACAGGAAGCAGCGTAAACATCCATCAACAGATGAATGGATAAAGACGTACAACAGAATATCGCTCAGTCAAAAAAAAAAAATTATGCCATTTGCAGCAGCATGGATGAACCTAGAGATTATCATATAAGTCAGACAGAGATGGACAAATATGATACACTTACATGTGGAATCTTTAAAAAAAAAAGGTACAAATGAACTTATTTACAAATGTCACAGAAACAGACTCACAGACATAGAAAATAAGTGCATGGTTACCAAAAGGTAAAGGGGGAGGGGTGGTGGAATTAGGAGTTTGGGATTAACAGATACACTACTATATATAAAATAGGTAAGCAACAAGGACTTACTATATAGCACAGGGAACTATATTCAATATCTTCTAACAACCTACAATGGAAAAAAACATAAAATATAGATCTGTATGGGTGTATATACATATACATATATATATACATATATATATAACTGAATTACTTTGCTGTATACCCAAAACTAACATTATAAATTTATAAACTATACTTCAACCTGGGCTTCCCTGGTGGCTCAGACGGTAAAGTGTCTGCCCACAATGCAGGAGACCTAGGTTCGATCCCAGGGTCAGGAAGATCCCCTGGAGAAGGAAATGGCAACCCACTCCAGTACTCCTGCATGGAAAATCCCATGGACAGAGATGCCTGTTAGGCTACAGTCCATGGAGTCGCAAAGTCGGACACGACTGAGCGACTTCACTTTCACTTTCTTTGCATACTTCAATTAAAAAAGGAGAATACTTGGAGAAAGGGGAGAAGTCACAGAGCTGCTAGAACACAGTTTTGAAACTCCAAGTATCTGTCCTCAATCTGCCCTTGCTTGTGCAGCACACGCAAATGTGCATAGATGGCCCATGGTGTGTAGGAGGCACGCTCTGTGTCCTCTGCTTCAGAAGACAGTTTGGGTTCTTAAAAGAACCATGTCTCTTCCCACGAGGCACACGCGTGTCCTGTAGTCTCTGACCCACCCCCAAGCGTACTTTTTTTGTTTGAGGGTTTTGAGTTGTATAATCGGGCCAAGCACATCAGGCTGTGGAGCCTAAGGAAGCAGTCCCGTCTAGTGGTCAGGTTACAAGTAACCAAGTTCCATTATCCTTCGGTTTCCATCGAAGTGTTATTTGTTCCCAGCAAATGATCAAGACTGGATTACAGTAAACATGTTTCTGGGTGCCCTTCTAGAAATAAGGAAAAGTGGGACTTGAAGGCCAGGTGAAAGAAGGATTCTAAGGGGAAACATCTAAACAATTTGAGAGGTGGAGCTCACCTTGGAAACCCTTGTACCAAGATGCTGACAGCACCTCCAGAACAAAAGTGTGAACAGAAGTGACTACTGTGAAAGCAAGAGCATGTCGGCAACACCATGTCTGCTCCAGAAATGGAGGGCACCGTTCTACTGTGTCTTCTAATCTCTAAGAAAAACTTACAGACATGGTGAGCTGATAACATTCTCATGACTGTCTTAGAGAAACATCTTTGCATGGACAGACAGTCCACTTAGACCACTGGTTCTCACTCCAGAGAGATTTCCATCCTAGAAGACATCTGGCAAAGTGCAGATGTTGTGGCTGTCACCACTGGGAGTAGAGAGAAGGGCTGTGTGTCTCGAAACACCTCACTGCACACAACAGCCGCCACGACAAAGAGCATCCAGCCCAACATGTCTGTAGGACGGAAACTAGAAACTCTGCCCTAAAAAATCAGTATTTTCTTGGTATTTTGATTATATTTTTGAAATATAATCCTAACTGAATCCACCTGTCTTTGGAAGAAAAACCCAGCAGGCAGCCTTTCTGGGAGAGGAGACAACCGAAATAATACACAGGTGAATTCCATGGGTCCACATGACCCTCATCACAATTTCCTTCTGAAGCATTTTCACCAGAAAAAGGAAATGTTTCTTTGCATAATAGCAAGCACTCTAAGGGGAAAAATGTTACCCGTAGGGAAATGTTTGGAAAGTCAATTGGGCTCAGTTATCTTATTTTCTTAAAGAAATGTAGAATAGGCTCCAAAATTTTTTATCATGTAAAAAATTTTACATGTGAAAATGTTAAAAAAAAAAAAAAGTTTTTTTCACCTGCGCAGCTGACAGAATAAGTTCATGTGTGAAGCACACTTAAGGCAACTTCAACTGAAATTCCGTCTCAGTGTGAGTCACGCCATCTTACTTCTTGGACTAAACACACTGCATAGAACAATCACTCAGCTCTCAAAGCAAACTGAGTTTCCAACCTGCAGACACCCTCTCAACTCTCTGCCCATGTCCAGGCCGCCCGATTCGTGGGCTCGGCGGCCGGGGGCGGAGGGTGCAGGGGCTCCCTGCAGGGAGTGGCGCCCCTCACTCCATCACCGCCCGGACGTCCCCACCCACACCCCGCCCCCTGCGCACAGACACGCTGGAAACCTCTCGCCTCCCGTCCAGTCCCTCGAAGACATCACACAACGGCAGCGTTCCTGACAGCTTCCGGGCGCAGTCAGGTCCATAAACCCGAAAAGGTGACCCTTCCGACATTCATCCATCACAGTGATCACACTGCCATCTTCACCCAAACCTCTGTTCACCTCATTTCACTGCTCAGAAATCATCAGCCCCCTACCCCCCCGCCCAGCCTGCGGGATCCAGCTGGGCCTCCTCGCTGGGGATGGGGCCCCTCCCACACCTGTCCACCTGGAGACAGTCGGCTCCTCTCTCCAGGAGTTCACCAAACGCTGCCTCCTCTGTGAAGCCTCCCAGGACTCTCCCCACCCGCCAACAGCCACCTTCTGCCTCCCGCCTCACTTGACTCAGGATACGCTGAGAGCTCTGCGTCTGAGTTTCTGCAGTGTCCTGCCTCCTTTCCAGAAAGCAGGGAGCAGGCTTGGGCCCACCTAAGGTCCACAGGCTGCTGTAAAAATCCTTCAGGGCTCCGAGTCCTGTTCCCCCTCTGCGGAGATAAATACATGTTATAAATACATAAATCCACTGAGAGGGATAAATACATGTGTACACGGGGCTAGGAGGAAGGGCGCTCCCAAAAGCTCAAGGACTATGTAAAGTCAGAGCCAGATGCTATCGCAGTTGCCACAGTGGTTGCCTGGGTCCCTGGGAAGGTAACAACACCCTATTTGCCTTTCCATTCGCTTATCCTGGCGAGTCACTGGCACCTGGGAGGTGCTTCCTGAGTGCTCCTCCAATGTTTGATGAATGGTTGGTAAAGGCCGGTACTTGACTAGGATCGTGGGCTGGTGTTGTGCTCTGCTCACAAGAGTTCTTCTCTCTAAACTGCGGGTTTCCTTGGTAAAGTTAGAGAAATGCTATAGAAGATGGAGCGCCATCCCCATACACTCAGAGGCAGCCCTCCCCTCTGCCTTAACAGTGAAAGTCGCTCAGTCATGTCCGACTCTTTGCGACCCCATGGACAATACAGTCCATGGAATTCTCCAGGCCAGAATACTGGAGTGGGTTGCCGTTCCCGTCTCCAGGGGATCTTCCCAACCCAGGGATTGAACCTGGGTCTCCTGCATTGCAGGCAGATTCTTTACCAGCTGAGCCACCAGGGAAGCCCCCTCCTCTGCCTTAAGCTGCAGAATTGAGGGCCGACATGGAGAAGGAAATGGCAGCCCGCTCCAGTATTCTTGCCTGGAGAATCCCATGGACAGAGGAGCCTGGTGGGCTACAGTCCCTGGGGTTGCAAGGAGTTGGACACGACTTAGCGACTAAACCACCACCACCTCTGTGGGGCTTCCAGAAGAAGCTGCGGAAGGAAGGATCCCGAAGATAAGGGCCTTCCTCCCTTTCCATCGCAAAGGGCACCTCCTTATCAGAGGGGTGGCTGCAGATGCTCGTGGACCTCCAGACAGCACCCGAGGTCAGAGTGGAACAGACAGAAGGAGGTGAGTTTAGGGCCAGCCCCCTCCCCTCCAGAGAAGGTGCAGAGGATCCAGTGACCCTCTGGCAAACTGGGAGCAGCCACTTGGTAACGTTTTGAGAATTCAAGGCACCATCTTTCTTTGCCCCTTTTCTCTTTGGCCAGCTCAAACAATCTCCAGGAACCAAAAGGCACTGTTTAAGGAACAGCCGCAGATGAGTCCCAGTAGGAAGTGTGGCGTGGAAGGAGGGACCGGGCAGCAGAGCGGCCCCCGGTTTGCAGGATTCCAGGAAGCCGGCCTGGGGAGACGGTCACGTCATCCCTGGTACTTTGCAGGACCACGGAGAAGAGGAGAGGCGCTTCGTCCTGATCGACAGAGCGGCAGCATTAATTCATTTACTTGGCAACAGCTGCACTGGGCACAGGGCACTTGCCTGGGCCACACCCATGGCCGACATCCTCCTGGTCTGTTCCATCCACTCCCAGCTCCTGAGGACAGTCTCGTTTGCCTGTCTGAGCGGGTACTGGTGTCCTTTCCTCATTCTCCTTCACTCGGGGCCATTGTGTTCCCTGCTCCTGGCCCGCTGTGCCCTCCAGTACCCCGTCCTATGAGGGCAACAAATCCCTTGGGCCCTCCTGGGGGCGGGAGGTGGTGAAAGGAAGGAGAGCAGCATTGGGGGTCTTAGGGTTCTTGTTCCAGATGCTTTCTCTCCCTGGAACCCCCACCCCAGATTCCAGCTCACCAGATTCCCTCACGGCTTCAGTTGTGCTGACATCTCACCCTCTTTGGCGAGGCCTGTTTTGACCACGTTCTATTAATAATTATGAGCAATACAAATAAAAATGCAAAGCACATCAGTGAGAGGAGAGCCAGCAAGGAGCTAACCATGTTTCTCCTATGAGCACAGTCCCCACACACCATTGGGAGCTGGTCTGCATCAACACAGAAAAATTCACAGGCCCAGGTTCATACTGCTTCAGATTCGAGGATATTGAGGTTGGATAACAGTCTTGTCTAGTTGCAAAACCCGTGCCCTGAAACCCGGTTCTCAACAGCTGTCATGGGGGAGCTACGTTCCCCAGGAGGGTCTGCAGAAGTCCTCATCCTCAGGACCTGCAAATAGGACCTCACTGGGAAGCAGAGTCTCTGCAGATGTCACCAAGTGGAGCAGGGCGGGCCCTAATCCTATCCTATGGCTGGTGAGATGAGGAGAGTGACACAGAGACAGACGCATCAACAGGCCAGGCCAGGTGACAGCAGACTGATGCGTGCGACAGAGCTAGGTGCTTAGTTATGTGTTTGAAATGTTCCATACTAGTTGTTCTTAAAAATTTACAAGATGTTTTACAAAATTAAAGTTATCTTTCCTTTTAAAGTAGTTTTATCTTAACCTAGACATATTAAAATTAAAGTAAGTGATAGGAGATATATAGCTGAGAATTAAAAAGCAGACAAAGCAGACACTTGCGATTTTTCAGTGACAGAGATTCATTCGATTTCCCGGTACGTTGACATGCCTTCATTAGAAGAAGGCTATTCATGCTACTTCCTGTTATTAGTACATTCAAAGTTGTCATTCAAAAGTAACCGTGTTATTGATTCCAGACAACTTAACACAATGTGATGAATAATTTAGGTTTGTTCATTATACATGTACACCTGAAAGTTCTATTTATTATCCTATAAATTCATTGATCCCAATGCTCTTTTTTGAAATAGTTTTTAAGAAGCACAAACAGTTTTTAAAAGAGAACAGAACGTACTTTCCTCTATTATTTGCAAATTGTCTTTGAGAAGAATGCTCCCACCTCTGTTTGTGAAACAGAAATGAAGGTGTAAGATCGTGGGGCGCACACCTTGCAGGGAGGTGAAATGATGGGAAACAGCCGCCCACTCCGCCCCCAAGTTCATCAGCAGCCGCCAGCCCTCCTGATGGTCCATGATCATTTTCAGGTAGGGGCTCACCGACCAGGGAAGCAAGCCTCCTCCTCCCCCAGCCCCGGGCCTAGGGCCCTGTGAGCCTCCCAGGGGTGGCTAGCCCACAGCCTCACAGCCCCCGCTGTCTGACCCTCCTGACTCCCTGCCCTCCTGGTCCAGCCTAGGTCCCACCCAGACACCATCATCCTGATGCCCTTCTCCTGAAAGACCGCAGCTCTGGATGGCCATACGTACCGTCTTGGCTGGCCTCACCCATCACTTCTTCATTTGCTTAGATTTCCATCCCCTGTCATTAATTCAGCTCCCAAACTCTCAGCAAGAAGGACTTGTCTCTTCGCACGGAGTTCAGAAACATGCCATAACCCATTTGTTTCTTTGTTCTTAGGGTCAGCTCTCCTCAGCTGGCCATCCTCCTGCTCAAACTGAACCAGTGACTTTTCTAGGCCCACTATCCAGCCAGATGCTTGTCCGTTTTACTAGTTCTTCCCCAAACCAACATCTTCCTTTGTTGGTAATATTTAATTTTTGCTTTGTATATTTTTAATTCCAGCTCTTTATTTTTCCTTCCTTCTGATTTCCTTGAGTTTATTGTGTTCTTATTCTAAGTTGTTATCCTAAATTCATTAATATTCAGCCTTTTTTGCTGTTCTAATGTAAGCATTTAAGGTTAAAAATTTCCCTTTTATGGCATCCCATAAGCCTTGATTTTAGCGGTTTTTGTAGCACATCTATTATCAGTTTAAATATTTTCCAATTTCCTTTTTTATTTCTTTTTGACCCATGACATATATAGAAGTCTGTTTCCTGTTCCCCAAATGTGTGGGGTTCTCTCTGTTTTTGTTGCTGACTTCCAACTTAACTGCACTGTGATCAAAGAATATGGCCAATGAGAGAAATTCTTGAACATCTGTTGACTTGTTTCATGACAGGAGACATGGCTTCATAAATGGCTTGAATGTATTTCTTTTCGTTTGTTGAGAGCAATGTCTGATAAACGGGCATTATCCAAGTTTGTTAATTCTGCTCCTCAAATCTTTCCTCTCCAAAAAAAAAAAAAAAAACTTTCCTATCCTGATTTTTAAGAACTATTTCACCTACCAGTTACTGAAAGGTATTAAAATATCCTATATGATTTCCTTCTCTCCTTGTAGTTTTGTCAAGTTTTGCTTAATATATTTTGCATAAATAAAATGTTATTGCTTATAGAAGTTTGGAATCATGATATGTTTCTAAGTATTTAAACCTTTTATAATTATTTAGAGACTCTATTCACAGTAATGCTTTTGCTTTAAAACCTATTTTTTTTTAATCAATGCAGCTTCACAAGTTTTCATTTGGTCAATGTGTGGTATGTCCTTTGTAACATTTACTTTCAATTTTTTGTATGTTCTAGATGTTTCTCTTGTAATCATCACACGGATAGACTTTTTTAAAATCCATTCTGTCAATTTTTGTCTTCAGAACATTTTATACCCATTTGTTGTAATTACTGATTTATTTGTTTTTGGTTTTATGTTTTCTATTTGCATGGCCTTATTTTATGTGTCCTTTCCCTATTTTATTTTTTTTCATTCCACTCCATTTCTTATCCCATTTTCTCCTTCTACTATTTGGAATTTTTGCATATTTCAGCACTCTCTCAGATAAATAGGAATTTTTAAGACATTTAATTATCATACGATTATCTCAACTGAACATAATTAACAAAATCCCTTACTATCACATAATACCCTCTGTTCTCAAACATCGCCAAAGCAACATACATTTAGTATGTTCAAATCAGGATGTAAACAAGATCCATATGTTGGAGTTGGCTTATTTCTTTCTCCACTTTTTTAATCTGTATGTGCGTGTTCAGTCGCTTCAGTCGTGTCCAACTCTTTGAGATGCTATGGACTGTGGCCTGCCAGGCTCCTCTGTCAATGGGATTCTCCAGGCAGAATACTGGGGTGGGTTGCCATGTCCTCCTCCAGGGGATCCTCCTGACCCAGGAATCAAACCTGTGTCTCCTGAATTGCAGGAGGATTCTTTACCCACTTGAGCCACCTGGGAAGCCCATTTTAATCTGTAAGAGTTTCTCTACCCCACTCCCTTTTTCCAGGTCACTTGGTTGTTGAAGGAATCAGGAGGCTTATCC